CTAACTGCCGCCTCGTTAATATCAAATCCATCATAATAACAATCCAGTACCATGCTGTCATGAACGTGCGGTGCTGTTACGTGTATGCAAATTGGCGTGCTTGATGTGAACGAGCATTTTGGGGGGCATTATTAAAGTTGCGCATGCGCTATGAGCACACATACGGGTACTTCTCAGGCATGCTGGGTAATCTGTGACATTTCGCTCTCTCAAAAGTTGGGCCATTTTATCATAATGCGCTAATGAGCAACTCTCATAGGAATGAATGAGGCCCCGCCTCCCACGCTGTATCCAGTTCTTATTATACATCCATGATCTCAACTCATTCCTCAAGGCTAAAATCCCAAAGTTTCCTCCAGAGGCGGGAGTTGACCAATCACAACAGAGCCAGCCAGCTAACCAATCAGAGCAGACTGGGCTCTGGTTTCAGACAGAGGGTGAAAAGAGATGCTGCAGCACAGGCAGTATGAGAAAAATAAAGAGCTTTTTGAACATTTAAGCATGGAGACATGTCCCAGTAGAGACACTACATACAGATATGAGCCCTGTAAGTGAGCATAATAGGGCCCCTTTAATAATCAAATCCGATCGGTTATAATTTACGCGGTTAATCCCCTCTGTCTCCCTCTTTCAACTCTCTCTCTCTTTAAAAAAGCCACTGGTGTCCAAAAACATAATCTTAAAAAAACTAGTAGAGACTGAAAGCCTTAGTACGAAACTGAAAATTAGCATTAAGTGTTACTAACAAAGAGTTATAGCAGTTACTTTTTAAGATGCATATTTTGTAGCCCTCATATTAGAAAGAGTCCAATTTTGGCACAATGAATACGACAGAATACTGAGGCACTAGAGGCAAGATTTGGCAGTAAAGTGGCAGTGAGAGAAAGCTCTTTTCCTCGTCCCATCTAGTGATTAAAGTAAAGAAGAGAAATTGTCTCTTTATGGCAGATAGATTCCATATCCTGGTTATAATGTAGGGAGAATTGAAAAAGGTTCAGCAAACCTCCCCACTTGAAAAAAGGAGTATAGCAACCCTTTACATTAAAACCCTTTACATTAAAATTCAAACATATCTGTTTGACAAGCCTGAGAGTAGAGGACGTACAGTATGAGTGACTCTGGACGTAGCATATATGTGCCTCCCGTCATACGACAAGCCAGCGTTATATTAATATTGTAAATTATTGATTGGGTTGATGTTTTTAATCTATTCGTCAGCAACATTTCCTCACTACACTTCTTCAAATGTCAGCATTCTTCACTTCCACTATCTCCACATCCATCTCCATCTCTGCTTTCTCTCCTCTCACTTGTTACACTGAATATCAGGTACGACAGGGAGCTTTCTTTCCCCCCCCTTTCCCGTGTGGTATACCAAGATCTTCGTCAAGCAGCTGATTAGAATTGTAGATGGGTCGGCCTGCGACTCTGAAGCTGTAGTGTGCAGGAGAACAGTCGCTCAGACAAGCTCTTTGTTGTCCCCCTTTCCAGCACACACTCCTTTTTCCTAGGCAAAGAAATGTGATCTCTTTTCCCCCTCATCCTCGCCCATTCCTTTTACAAAGTGAATTAATGAATGCCTAAAGATGCGGTCCATTATGCGGAGTATGTTTTGTATACCCAGAGGGACTGGAGTTACTCTATAACATACCTGTAATGAGGAGGAGAAGCCCTTTAGGATCCTGAACGCTACACCACGCTGCTCAGTCGGCGGGTTTGGATCTTTCTCTTCATCGCCTCTCTTGATTTATCCCTCTCGTTTTTGATTTCTTTCTCTCACTCTTTATAGCTGTCCTGCTTCCATTCTCTCCCCTGCTGGGCCCTTTATGATTGTCTCCTTCACAATAACAGTCCCGCATGCTGCTGTTTCACAGTAGTGGTTTTGTTCAAATCTACTTGGATATCTTCCATCTTCTGTCCAATCATTCCTTCCCTTCATTCGCCCCCTCCCCGTCTCTCTCTTCCGGTTCACTTATCTTCCACCCAGGGGATTCCCTTTGCTGCTCAAAGTGGTTTACTTCACTAATCAGTCCCCTCCTTGTCACTCTCACTCTCTCCCTGTGTGTCCCTCACCCTCCATCTCTGTACATGTCCCCCTCGGTTGCTCTCTCGTAGTGTGCCGGTTTCCCTGGCTTTGAACCAGAGTGTCTCTCTTTGCTCTCTGAAGACTTCCAAACAGCCAGATCAGATCTGCTCCCAGGCAGCAGCGGTGGAGGCTGACGTGTCTCCAGCTTCACTCCCCCGCCAGTTGCTGCAACCGACGGCAGTGCTTTCCAACAGCTAAGCGACAATGGCTGGCGGGAAAGAATGTGCTTGTTATGTAAAAAGCAAGGCCATTATTGCCGCTTTTTCAAAATAGCTGTGGGATGTGGTTCCTCTCAATTGATACGGAACAGAGAGACACAATTAAAGAGCAGGAGCACTTCCAGATTCCGCCATAAGTAGAATTGGACATTCTTCATAGCTACGAGCATGAATACAGATTTGAAAGCATTAATATAATGCCAGCAGTATAGATCGTTGAACTGTTAACCCCTAATGAGCGAGGGTTCAATTAAAACAAGGCAAACTTTGGACTAAACAGGAATGGAGAAAGAAAGCCAACAGAAAGAGATGTTTATGCTGGCTTTTTCCAGAAGTCAAAGCCCTGTTGCATGAAGAGGTTAAATACTTTTCGTGTCAGTCTAATGTCACATGTCAGCATTAAGTGTTGAGCCTTAAGGTGGAAACTACTAAAGGAAATGAAGCTTGAACTTTGAGTTTGACTGCAAAGTCAAGCTTCTGTCAAACAGCAAGCAAGTGTTTTTAAAGGGGCCCTATTCTGCTCTAAGAAGAAAGAGGAATGTGATGTAAATAAAGGGTATCATATAGAAACATGCAGCCCATAGGACATTTGAAAATTGTAACTATTTTTATCACAGGGTTGTGTTTGGATACCCATGGGCAAGGAATCTGAGAAATCATTTACATTTCTTTTGGTTGTACCCACATTGGTGATTCTGATTACAAAAACGACGGCGAAAAAAACCAAGCTGGTGTCGGCCAAAGAGCCAAACCTCGAGGTTCATTTGTTGTTCCCAAACCAAAAGTAGACTCCCTGGTGACCAAGTTCCCTTGTACAGTCTACCACCCCCTCCCCATTTCTACTCAGTCATCTTTCAAATAAAGGCGAAACTGACAAACAAAAACATATTTCTCTAAATGGCATTTTTGAATAATAACTTCAGCTGCATGGCAAGGTCCAAACTCACATTTTTTAAATCACTCTGCTAATAACTTGACCTATAATTAGGCAGAGGCTGGGTAATGCTGTGTTTGGAATTACCTGATGTGGCCCACTCTAGGAATTCATATTGTGAGTGGTAATTGGATTTTTTCTTCAGTGTTTCTATCTAAAGTCCAAAATAAAAAAGATGTACAACAACTAACAACAAACAAGAGGTGATGGAGCTGTCAATCAAGTACGCTCACACAGTCTTAGGAAGGACTAATCAGGCAACATATGTGGAAACACCAGTGTGGGTCAACAGTACGTGTGTGTAAGAAAAGTATATATAACTTATTAAACCCCTTTCATGGCCAAATACTAAATAAAACAGCGACTTGAATCACAATATTGATCAAAAATGATTGTATTGCTTCCACTAAGAAAAGAATAGTCCGTTCCACAACATTACAAGGGATAGGAACTGTGGAAGCAACAACGTTACTGTACTTAAAATGACTGCAGCACTGATCGAGGTGTTTCTGTAACTGTCCAAGTCTGTTCACATTTTCTTTTCCATTAACAAGTCTTTAAACAATGCCAGAGCCCACACTGTGTTCCGGTTAGTGTTTACTTCCTGTCGGTCTTCTTCTGTTGATTTCTCTTACATCCAGCGCTCTGTCTACCTCTTTCCTTCTCTTATTCTGTTTTTCTTCTCTTTACTGGAGACAGTTTAGCCATGAAGAAGCCAACGTTTTCGTGGTCTACACATATATAAAAGTAGAGATTCAAAAAGTAATCCATGGTGTTTTCTGATGGATGAAAACAAATGTATATTGACCACAGCTGACGTTAAATTGACCAGACTAATTTCACATAGACCCTTGATCCTCCTTGGCAACGGTCTGTTCTCCTTAGCAGTGGTGTGTAAGTGAGTATTAACAACCTCTGAAATGTCCAAATTGACTAATCAGAATTGAGTATTAAACAAACCATGAATAAAATGCAATAGACGATACGTGGGAAACATGACATAGGAGACCAAACAGAACTTGAGTTTGCACCCCAAAGGCTTTTTTTCAAAATATAATGAAGAGCGCTGCCAATGTTTCCATCTCTTTCTTGTTGCCGTGATGTGATTTTGAGTGGCGGCCCCTGTATTCTCCTGTCAAACAAAATCACACAATATACGGATGACATCTCAATACTCTCAATATGCACACAAATTTAGTAAGTAAGTGCTAGACAGTAAAATAAAAATGTTGTGGCAATAATTAGCCACACCTAAGTCACATCAGAGTATGTATGTACTTGTATGTTCTAATGCTCAGGCAGTGGCTACACATTGCTCCAATTAATTCAATTGTCAAAGGAGAACTCAGTGCTGCTTTCGACGAGTTAAATTACAGGAGGAAAAAATATATGTATTTTTCATCAAGACAGAGATTGAGATTACAGCTTCCTCTGCGGATGGCTGAACTCTCTCGCACACAGCCTCACAAATACTTAATCACATATGCAAATATACACACCGATGTACACGCTTGGAAACTTTTTTTGCTCCCCGCAGTCAGTCATTTATTTAATGAAGCAGGTTGTCTGGGTCTTAAACGCTCAGCTTAAAATAGCCACTCTGCAGTCGCCAGGAAAAATCATGGGACCCTATTATTCTGCCCCAGAGCACATAACATACATATTCTGAGTTTCTGTCTGTGTGTCTCTTTGGAAATCTGCTTGTGACACTTAAAATGACATGTGTGCATATCCAGTTCATGTGTTTTCTTTTTCATTTCAGGCAGCAAGGATGAAGGAGTGGATGGCCATTATTCCCAACTCTCAGCTCATTGTCATCCCATTCCCACAAGATCAACCCAGCCGGTACCTAACTTTTAAAAGATGAAGATATAGATGGATCTCACTGTAATGTATCACTTTCTTCCTTGTTCACTGCAGTGCAATTTGGAGCCCCTTTGACGCTTGTTGCTAAGGATACCATTCATTGATTTAGGCGCCTCATCTTGATGCCTCTTAACGACATGTTCAAGTTACTGTTACCTCGACAGCACCACAATTTATAATTGCCCGGAGTATGCTAAAGGCGACTAATGTTAATCGTGTTGACATTTAGTAGTCCAAATAAGTCAATTATTAGCATCAGCCGCTTTTACACATAGAGGCTTCCTTATTCACGAGTAAGGTATTTACTGACGTAAAACTAAATGTAAAAATCTCTTAAACTTGTGTTTTTTACCACTATTTCAGACATCAATACAAACAAATATTTCATCTCTTATCTTATCTCAATTCTACCAACAGCACTTCTAATTCCCAACAAAAACAAGATTACTACTACTTTCATTACACAGACACACACACACACTCGTGCACACCTCGCAGCATGTGTTCTTGTGTTATCATGACGTTGTTTGCATGTAGCTCAAATCCCAGGCGGAGCTCCAGATGGCTATTCAACACACACACAAACACACACATGCCGCCTCCTCCATATAACACTTGTGTAGTTGCCGGCACAGACGCACACCTCCATACATGCCATGAGTGAAATGGATCTTACTAGTAAAACAGGTGCCTTGGTATTCTTCTCACATACAGTGTAAAGCTAGCACAGACTGTGAGATGATGATTTTTTAATATGGATTGCTGGAAATACTTAAAAGTCCTTGGGAACCAGAAAAAGAGCAGCCGTTTTCATTTTTTTATTTTAAAGTGGAACTATCATGCAAAATGCACTTGTGTACGTCTCTTATACTTGAATATGTGTCCCCAGTGTGTCGGGGAACTCACCAAGTGTCAGAAAACACAACCCTCTCTCTTTTCCTCCATACCCAAATCTCTAAAAACGGGGACTGCAACGGAGCTGATTATTATTTGAATTTTTCTGACGTCAGAAAAGGGGTGCTCCGCCTATATGGGCAACTCTCCACCTATCAGGGGAATGAGAGACCGCTCGAAAGCGCTGGAGACGCTGTAGTACATATGCCAGGCCTGTAAGTGGCGCTGTAGTCTGCCACAAAAGCAGAATCAGCCCTTGCAAAAACAGGGCTGGAAAAGAGCAAATAGAGCGAAATGAGGCATGGCTAAAATGCATGATCTGTTTGGTGTTTTGAAAAAATAATTTCACAGACATGTTTTATATAGGTATGGCCCTACAACATATGTTTCAAATATAGCATGATAGGTCCACTTTAACTTAATGAGGACACAAACCCTGTTAATGTGCGCCATTTGGTGAAACGTTGTTTTGACAGATAAAATGTAAAACAGCATATGGTGAGTTATTTTTTTGCACACTCTCCTCAACACTCTCAATTTTTTTTTGTATTGAATATTCTTTATTGGCATAGCAAATGATAATCAACTACTGCTGCATAGATAAGTACTAAATAACATGCAGTACAATAAGAAGATGAGTACATCTTCAACTTGAAGTTGTACTAAGTACAACCTGAACAGTTACATGTTGTGTAGCTGAATTTAGGAATTGTGGTTCTGCTAAACACTGTTTTAACCATTAATTAGCTAGCTAATAAAAATACAGCTGGCTAGCTAGCTAGCTTGCTAATGATTAAGCAAACAAAGATGTAACTGTAGTGGCGGCAGCAATGCGCTCTCCTACACAGGGACAAGAGTGTGTGGATGAAGCATCAAGTTGTTTTGTTGGTTCTTTTTTTGTAATGAACTCTGGGGCTGTTTGATTCCTTGTGAGTCTGCAACAAACTGCATATTGGTCTATACAGAAGTAAGCCATTTGCAATAGAGTGCTGCCAAAGAGATGTTTTGGAAAGACAACTTCTGAAAGGCAATTAACTGGAAATTACAACTTGTGTATGTCTCTCTTTTTCCCTTAAGTTGGAGCGCTAAGTTGTACCTGACTCCCAGCAACAGCGTGTTGCTGACGGCCATCGCACTGATCGGAGTGTGCGTCTTCATCCTCGTCATTATTGGCATCCTCCACTGGAAAGAGAAGGTCAGGATAGACACCTACACACACACACACACACACTCACACAATGGTGTACTGAACATTGGCCTCTACCTGGTGATTTACTGCTTCAGAGTGTGACTGAGAATATGTGTGCGAGAGAGAGAGAGAGAGAGAGAGAGAGAGAGAGAGAGACGAGAGAGGATAGATCTACCTATGATGATCGATAGAGAGAATATAGAGAGAGAGAATCTCGTCTATCTCTCTCTCTAGATCTCGAGAGAGAGTGGGCAGCTATCTGCTCGCCTACGAGCTCGCGAGCTCATCTCTCTAGCTCCTCTCGCTGCTCGCGAAGAGAAGCAATTGGGTCACTACCAGCAGCAGATGGGTCTCACTGTCTCTGTCCTGTAGTCCCCTCGCCTCCTGCCAACACACACACACACACACACACACACACACTTTCCTTCTCTTCCTCTCTCTCTCTGTCTGTCTCTCTCTCCCTGGGCTACAACCTGGAAGGACGTTCGGCTGTAATTGCCTGCTTCTGTCCTTTCAGCATGGCGGATCTGCTGTTCATTATAGCCATAAATACGCCCTCCAGGGAGTCAATGCATGTTTTCAAGTGTTTCTGCTTCCTCTGGGTTCTTGTTTCAGTCACACACACACTTGAAATGTCATATGTCACATACATTATTTAACAGTCATTTCCGCAGATTAACTTTTTTGGGAGGATCTTTTGGAATGCTTTTCCTTTTTCATCTACACACTGTGGTAACGCTGTCACCGGGCGGGCGGTGCTGGAAGTTGCTGGCATCTTCTCCAAGCCATCTGCCGCGGGAGTGTGTGCGTTTAATGTGCACCCGGATGTGTGCATGGTTACACACACAGACGGGCTCTAATTGCCCTCTTTTTGGGATACGGGGGCGTGAGCATCAGCTTTATCTGAACCGACGCTGCATTTAAAAAAGAGAGCGGTTGGTGCCTCAACTGAGCGTAGACATACACCTATCAGATTATCAGAGGTGGATGGGAGGGGGGGGGGGGGGGGGAGCTGGGGCTATTTGAGAATTGAGAAACAAGAGTGAGAGGAAGAAAAAGGAAAATTCTAATATAGAAGAAGAAAAACGTTCTTGCAGCGGCTGGCAGGACACTTCACAGGAAATACAAGCTGGCATGTTCACACAGGCAGAATGATGGTTTGAAGCCATGAAGAAGAAAATGCATTTGACTTTGATCACCGTAATGTGTTTAGACTGACCAGTCAAAGTCATCAAAAATAGCTGCCTTGTTTACTAGTTCCCCCATAGGGATCTAGAGTAGGGATATATAGTATCAGAACTGTGCAATATCTCAATCGGAGAAGGCCCAACGTTGGTTTAATTTGGTTTGGTTTAACGATAAGCATCATAAATATATTCATAATCACAAAGAACATTCTGATAACACATTATAAACGTTTGATATTGACCTTAATAATAATTGCTGTTTTTGATAAGATCATGGTGTATTATAATTCCCATAGTGGTTATTCGTAGAATCTTTTTTTAAATGCATTTTCTGAAGTCCTGGCAGATATGATATCAAACTGGTAATAAGTGACTATAAGTGAACAATGTTTTAATAAAGTCAAGTTAAAAAAGTGTTATTAATTCTAAAATGTATTTTATAAGTATTACTATAATGGTAATAACGATTTAGGTTAGCATTTAGTCCACAATGCTAATGCTCTCCTGAGCTTGTGTATTTAGTGTCACTGTATCTAACCTCAGCAGTGGTGTGTGTCTACAACTGCAGTATTTCTCTCTCAGCAGCTCTGAGTTCAGACTGACAGCTTTTATAAACTCAGCACATTTAATTTGATTTGGAATCCCCGGCCGGCAAACTGAAAGACACACATCCGGCACAACGAGCTAACGCGGTGTAACCTTCTGCACCGTCGGGGGAATTGAGATGGAGGGTGAATCCTGTACCAGACGCTAACACCCCTTTCATATCTCATCTTCTTGCACTTATTTTACGGCGGGCATGCATTAAGGTCAGGGCGAGCCCACTGATAGACATTTGGCATTTGTGAGTGTTTGCAAAATAACAAAGTCAGGTAGAGGGCACAAGCACGGGGGCAAAGAAGTGCTGTCCTGCCTAACAAGCTAACGTGGCTTTAACACAACTCCTGTGAACTTCTGTAAAATAGAATAGCGTGGTACAGGAATAAGTCTTAATGCCTGGGAATGACTGATGCTGCATTCACCTGACACGTGACTTGCTCTTTGCTCGCCAGGGGGTTGGGCCTTGCGGTGAAACAAAAAAGTAAATTACCTCACCTGCTAGCTTGCTGCGCTACATTCAGCTGTCCTCTGATTGGTTTGGTCGCCGAAAGATCAGCGGGGGTCACAGTTGAAGTAATCTGAACTTTGAGCGCTGGGCTACAAATTTAGCGACAAACTTGGCTAATTTATCTTTAGCATTTTAGCACTTTCGGTTCCCTCACCTTAATGGCAACTTTTTTTTAGATGACTGACATGTTTTATGTTTTGTTCTACCACATCAAATACGTCAAAAAGCACCAAAATAACAGCCGTCTTTAGCTTAGTGCTGGAGACGCGGAGCCATTCAACAGTGATGGCTTTTTTTTAAAGCCTATCATTAGGCTTTAAAAATCATAAAAGTAGTGTTAATATGTGGAGATCCATCCAATGGAAACATCACATTCACAACAAAAAAAACATGAATCAAATTGGAAGATTCATCATCTTCATGCAGGACATGTAGGCCAGTCTTAATGAGTTGACATTAGAGCCCAGTGAGACTACACAACACCTCATAGAGGTGTTTACCTGCTTCCAGACGCACCACTGTGTCATTAAAAACCTTCAGATGGACACAAATCAATGCTCCGCTGTTTAACGATGAGCCTCAGGAAGACAAAGTGGTGGTATCCCCTGGATCTTCAATTAGAGCAGACTCCACGAGCAGCCCAGCCCAGGGGCTCCAGGGGAGAGAACATCTCATCAACCCAAAATGTGTTTTGATGACATTTCTCACATGTCGGTTTACCCCGCCTCCAGCCATCACACCTGCCATGTGTGTGAATCCCAGACGATTAGAGTCTGTTGGCCATAAATAAACGGATTCACCTATTATAAAGGAAACCGTATTCATAGAATGCACTCTGTTGTGTTTGGAGATGGTTTATTACTATTTTCCATGTTTTATGAAATTGCTTCCCAGAAAGTAGGATTTGGATTTGCCAAGGCAATGATACTTGTATGTTTGACCTGTGGCACTGTAATTGAATTTGAAAGGTTAACTTAAATTATAACTAAACACTTCCTAAACATATGTGTGGTTGCTCATATGCGATTATTAGACTGCAGAGTACTTCTTTATTGCTTGCTCAGTCCCAAAAGGCTTTTTTCTCCTTTTGAAACAATGAATGTTTAGTTGTTGTTACAAAACAAGAGACTAAATACTCTACCAGTGGGTACATTTAGATAAACTGCTTCCATGTTTAATCAGTGAATGCAACAGAAAAGCGTTTTATTTTGGAACATGGAATTTATTTTGATCTAATTTTCTTTAGTTATTTGCAAAATGGTGGTCATTTTATATTAGTCTTGTTTTATTCAGTAACATTTAAAATGGTGTCTTTGTGTTTAACAATTGGTCATAGTATTATGCAATGTTGTATAAATGGATGCAAACGTTTCCCCTAAATTACGAGATAAGATAGCTAAATGTAACGAGCATGATGTAACTGATAGTTATACTTAAATCAACAATCTTTGACTGTACTTCTTCTATGTGTGTGCTTTCAGAAAGCGGACGACCGAGAGAAGAGACAGGAAGCCCACCGTTTCCATTTCGATGCCATGTGAAGGAAGAGAACTGCATTATGGGAGAACATCCTCTCCCGTCCTCTGCCTCACCGTCCTCCCCCCTTAACACCACATTTTCTCTGTTTCATTTCTCGGGCCAATAAATGGATCCTCATTTGCCTCAAAACGGTTCTATTTGATATTTTTCAGCCCCTCAGTCAGATGTGAAATATTTATGTTGCGTGTCATTTATTCATTCCAGTGTTAGATGTACAGGAGCTGCAACAAGGCCATGGAGACACTCCTAATAGGGATCCCTCGTGAGATAGAGCAGGGATCTCTCTGTACCTAATCATCATGGTGTAAGTAGATTTTAACAAAACGTTGCAGATTAAACGCCCAACAAGTTATGTTGCATTCACTGGAAGGGAAGCACCTTTGGCACTGAGTGTTAAAAGATATCATTTTACTTGAATCCATGTGCGTGTTACTGTAAATTGTCTTTGTCTAGTTGATTTACCTCTGTCCTTTTCATTCGTATGAGGTATAATAAAGACATTGTTCCGATTTTATCACCTGTGAAATTAAACTGAATCTCCGCCTTGCAACCGCGACGGCAAGCTGTGCAAAGAAGTGAACAAAAAGACAGACATGTGCAATGTCATGATTCCTGTGGGACATTTTTTTCTGCTACCAATCTCACAAAAAACATGAACTACCAGCAGGTCCGCTGAGAGCACTGCACTGTACTGAGCTTGGCAAAAAGTAACTCCAGCTTGTTTGAGATGTACTTTTAATTGTTTTTCTCTTTTTATGGTTAATCAAACCAAGCGCTTTAGTTTGTTCTGATATTTATTTCACAAGAATAACTTTCCAATTGGCACATTTTAACTACTGTGATTAACTGCGGGTGTTTGTAATTTATTCTGTTTTTTGATTTGCTCATGAATGTTCAAGCTACTAAATGTGTTTACTTACTGAAGTCGGTAATAAAGGTTCGACCTGCTTAAGTCAACTCTGGGTTGCTTTATTTGTGTATCATTAGACTTTATGTCTGTTTCATGGTCCTCTCTTTTTAAAGCTACTTGTGGAATTAGTCCCAAACGCGTAGTTCACCTTTCTGGGGAAGATTTTATTTAGATTATTTAGTTGTCTGGAACCTGGAGGGAAATTTACACTCAAAATAATCATCTTTGTATGTTCTCATTATCTAAATGTGTAGTGAGTTAAAGTGCCTTTAATTTACCAGAGGACTCCTGCAGGCCTCTTTGAGGGTCCCGCAGGCCCCCCACTTCAGGGACCACCCTGCTAAATAATGCATGGTGAGAGCAAACCTTCCCTTCAAGGCAACGAGAGTAAAAGAGTCTCCATCTTGGTAGCCTTTAAGCACATCACAAGACGTGATTCAAAGCATAGGGGCGAACATACAGTAATGATAGAGTGTGTGTGTGTGTGTGTGTGTGTGTGTGTGTGTGTGTGTGTGTGTGTGTGTGTGTGTGTGTGTGTGTGTGTGTGTGTGTGTGTGTGTGTGTGTGTGTGTGTGTGTGTGTGTGTGTGTGTGTGTGTGTGTGTGTGTGTGTGTGTGTGTGTGTGTGTGTGTGTGTGTGTGTGTGTGTGTCACTCCCATCCCGTCACATATTGACGGACGGTCAGGGCCCCTCCCCGTCGCTATATTACGTACAAGGTACCCCTTGCCCGTCAGGCTTCTACGGGCAGGGCGTCCCATAGACCTTCATAGACCACGTGATCAACAACAATGGCCGACCTTCGTGTTATTCTCGGTGGAAAATGCCTATTTTAAGGTTCATTTGGCCATTAAAATGCGTTTTGATGTCATTTTATGCGAGTAATGAGTTTTTATTTCTGATTATTTGTGCAGTACATGTACATGATGTTTAGTTTGCTTGTTATGACGAAGATTACTTCATGAATGTGTACACATTCATGGTTGCTAACGTTTTTTTTGGTGGAAATGTGTTTTTTCACAGCAAAGTCACCCTCTGTCCTTGGACTTATTGGGAGAATCTAAAGGCAAGAACATCCCAAATATTCATTTAGGTCTTTATTTTAGACCTTTAGTGTTGCCGTCTGTGAGGAAAATAAATGGAGCTCAGAGCCTCGTATTTTTAAAATATTTTTTTCCTTCTAATTTGTTATTCTTTTCAAAATAGCACACTGTTATTTACTCACCAATAACACACAATTATCCTTGGTTTAATTCCATAATCTCGGGCTTTTTTGGCGTTCGTCATGAACTGAATTTCAAAATAAAAATAACCGGAAACAGACGTAGGCCTATAAGGGACATTTCGAGCATCATTGCGATTGTCAACATTTTTGAGTTTAGGATGGCCGAAGACACTACACTACCCATAATCCCCAGCTATCGTTTAGGACTACAGTCCCCGTGATTAATCTTCAAGGTCTGGGATTGGATGTTGGAGTGGCAGTGCGCCAAGGTTACGCCGAGCGTCAAACAGCTGTTTGAAATGGAACGAAACCACGCCAGACTATCCAAAACTGGAATCGAACGCCCCCCCTAGAACTACACACTACACTATTGTGTTTCGCAAAATGGTCTATGGGACGTCTCTACTGAACGTTTTCGTTTTTCCTACAATTAGAAGTTGCCAGTATTAAACACATTGGTGTTATCAAATGTAAAACATATAATTAATAAATGGGTGAAAATCGCATGTGTCCATAATGCGCAGCATTAATACCCACATGACAGCTCATTGTTACTTTGTAATTCTACTCCACTACAATTCAGAGGTTAACCTGGTATTTTTACTCCACTACACTTATTTGAGTTACTTTGCAGATTCTGATTAATGATGTGAAATATAAACAACCCTTAAATCAGACTTTAGTTACACCTGAGTAAAATTCAGGTAAGGTGATTGTCAAGTGCCAACAATCAGGAGAGATATTTGATAGTTGGTGCTTGAGAAGACTAAACATGTATCTGCAATTGACATGAATGGAAACGAGTAATAAAGTATATTAATTACTCGTTATTCTCTACTAATAGTTCATTAAAGACTGTATATTATGGCTATTTTGCACATCCCTTTCAAGATTTTCAAAGGTTTATTGACATATCATATACACAACTACGGTATAGTTATGCAATGAATGAAAAACTTGGGTCACAGGTTCCTCAACAGTGCATTACAAGACATCTATCAATATGTGTGTACCTCCACCATTAAACTGTCATATTCTGCACATTTCTTATTTTATCTATCTACATAAGAGTATAATCCATATGTATAATATCAGTTAAAATAAGTGCTTCAACATAGTTAACATTGCAGGAAAGCAATATATTAGACGTTAAGTACTTTGTCAGGCTTAATATTTATCTGTGATACCCCCAAAGCTTTTTTCTTATTTAAAAGAAGACCTTAATCTGTTATTTAATGTTTAAATAAAGGTTAATTCGTTTTTCTGTTTTGCACCTCCTCCTATTAATATCTTTGTACATCCTGCACTAAACTGTTTTATTGTGATCACTTATAGTATCTTCTTTATTTTTTATATTCTATATTTCTATCACAGACCTTCTACTTTCCCCCATGAAAGTATGTACTCTTAATATTTATATTAATCAAATATAACACATAAAAACAATAATTCAATAACGTGCTTTAACCACTAGGCGGTGCACACAAGGTCCACACAGCCATAATAACTTTGTATTATTAGTGTTGGACACTTGTATGTACAACATCTGAAGATGTGTAGTTTTGTTCATGCTTTCACATAATTTTACAGCATATTGCTATACTATTTCAGACTCAGTATTTACATTCTTACATTCAAAATTCAATCCAATTCAAATCAGTAATATCTTTAAAAACGACAAGTCCTTTTATATCAGCTGTGCACCGTTATGGTGTAAATATAACCTATCTATGAATTATATCAAATGTAAAAGTCAGCCGAATTAGTGTTGATACTGCAAGGAGACGTATTGTGTGAAGAGAAATTGAAGATGTTGTTTAATTGTTGAAATATTTATGATCCACGTCAAGTATTCAGTTTCGGCGGCATTTCTTCAGTTTTTCCAAAGGTCTTCTCATCAGGGCTCTATAAATAAAGAACTACGGCAGATATGTAATATTTAATGCAGCCGAACCGTGTATTACAATGCCGTTATGTGATGACTTCCAAAGAGAAAAGCAAGAGCACTCGGAATTAAGTATTATTTTATTATTTTAAAATGTTTTCCGGATTTCATATAATATAAACACCAAATCCCAGCATCTATTGCGGCTAAAACATCCAATCAGCGTAGCTGAGGATCCTGGATAATCGCTCGAAATGCCTACGTCTGTTTCCGGTTATTTTTATTTTGAAATTCAGTTCCTGACGAACGCCAAAAAAGCCCGAGATTATGGAATTAAACCAAGGATAATTGTGTGTTATTGGTGAGTAAATAACAGTGTGCTATTTTGAAAAGAATAACAAATTAGAAGGAAAAAAATATTTTAAAAATACGAGGCTCTGAGCTCCATTTATTTTCCTCACAGACGGCAACACTAAAGGTCTAAAACAGGGGTACTCAAATACAAATCTTAAAGGTCCAAAATAAATGTTTCAATAAGACAAAGGTCCGTTTATTACGGTCATTCAAACTTTTAAACAATTGCAACAAGATTCTTAACACGAGGTTGCAAAAACAAAAATAATCTGTATGCAGCAGTTTTCATTGTTGTTGTGTCTGTGCTTGATCCCTCAGAGTCGCAGTGTAAGAGCTGCACAGTTATGAATAAAGGCAGCTGCACCCTCTTTCATTCAGCATTCCCATTATTGCTTTATACATGTCTTGCCCCTTGTGTGTCCACTGAGGTTCGTCAGGCCCAACACATCTTCAACAAACTCCCCCTTTGCCTCATCATAACAACTCACAAACACCAGCAACTGAGCATTGTGAGTGGTGTCAGTGGACTCACCCACAGCTAAGGAAATGCACTGTGCATTTTTTATTCCATCACAAAGCTGATGAATCAAATCACCAGCCAGTATTTATGTTCTTCTGGTTGCTGTGCAATCTGAGAGGGGATTTGCTTGATTTTACCTGTTATTTCCTCTTTTTGTTTGCCTTCAACATGGTGTCTATCACTTCAGTCATGCATTCTTTTATACTTCAGTTATTATCCAGTGGAAAGTCCTTACCTACTGGCCTAGTTCAATCAAAGTGGTTACTTTTTTTTGGCTGGGCAGTGTAGTTTTACACACCGTCTTATTTGACTTTCTCAGGACTTAAAACTGTTTTTTGGGGGAAGACCCTCTCAAAGAAAACAATATATTTACACACGTAAGGTCATCATCTTAACAGTTGTGTATGCTCATCCGTGAGCAGAGCATCAAGTTGACATGTCTATTACAGCTGAATGCGGCGATTACCATCTTGTTCAGCAAAACGCCTCACAAACTTATTAAGATCAACAGCTTTAGTGCGTTTTGATTCAATGCTGAGTACAGCCAAACTGACAGTCTCTTCTCTGTCATTGTAGACCACAAATACCTCATTCCTTCAGTGCTTGGGTCCGAATGCTTCTCGTTTTGCGCCGTCCAGTTCAAAATGAAATCTTCGCCAATCATATGTCCACGCTCGCGCCAGGACCGGGGGAGGGGTTACATGACGCGCATCTTGTGCTGCATTCACTTGCACTCGGACATTAGAGACTTTCTCTCATAAATGTCCGATGAGCCACAACTTTTCTTTTAAAACAAAGCTGCCAACTGGGGTGGCAGCTCGGGTGGCAAGGCCTATTTTTAGGGTGTCAGTTGCCGCCCCGGAAGGTGAAACTAGGCTACTAGCTACAGTACAGATGGAACTAGATGAGCTGTTAACTCTCGCTCTGAATTTTTTTTTTTAAATTCTCGCTCTGACTTAGACAGGTTGAAAGAGATACACACATTTTTCCCACCCGCAGTCCGCGAAGACCCGCCCTACTGTGCCTCTGATTCGCAGATTGTTTGGGGGGGAAAAACGCTGACTGGATGCTGAATGTGATTGGACCAAAGCGTTGACACACACAGGTGGAACACAGTGGAACAGTCAGACATGCAGAGCGCTGTTTGCAGTGGACATAGCGGAGAATTTTGACTCGTTGCGAATGCGTTGTGGCGATGTCTCACATATAATGCAGAGATATAATACATATGAAAAGTATAATTTGCTCAGAGTCCGGAGACAGTGGTGGTTCGGTCCGGATCCGGACCGGAGTCCGTAGTTTGAGGATGCCTGGTCTAAAATAAAGACCTAAATGAATATTTGGGATGTTCTTGCCTTTAGATTCTCCCAATAAGTCCAAGTACAGAGGGTGACTTTGCTGTGAAAAAACACATTTCCACCAAAAAAACGTTAGCAACCATGAATGTGTACACATTCATGAAGTGTACTGCACAAATAATCAGAAATAAAAACTCATTACTCGCATAAAATGACATCAAAACGCATTTTAATGGCCAAATGAACCTTAGAATAGGCATTATCCACCGAGAATAACACGAAGGTCGGCCATTGTTGTTGATCACGTGGTCTCTGTTGCAGCGTCCATCGCAAACACCTTAGCAACCATGAATGTGTGCACATTCATGAAGTAATCTTCGTCATAACTAGCAAACTAAACATCATGTACATGTACTGCACAAATAATCAGAAATAACAACTCATATTAATCGCATAAAATGACATCAAAACGCATTTTATTGGCCAAATGAACCTTAAAATAGGCATTTTCCACCAAGAATAACACGAAGGTCGGCCATTGTTGTTGATCACGTGGTCTATGAAGGTCTATGGGACGCCCTGCCCGTAGAAGCCTGACGGTCAAGGGGTCCGCTGTCCGCAATGAAGGTCTATGGGACGCCCTGCCCGTAGAAGCCTGACGGGCAAGGGGTACCCTGTACGTAATATAGCGACGGGGAGGGGCCCTGACCGTCCGTCAATATGTGACGGGATGGGAGTGAGAACGTGCTGGTGTGCGTGTGTGTGCGTGCGTGCGCGTGTGCGCAACACGTTCTCACTCCCAACCCGTCACATATTGACGGACGGTCAGGGCCCCTCCCCGTCACTATTACGTACAGGGTACCCCTTGGAAGTCAGGCTTCTACGGGCAGGGCGTCCCATAGAGTCTACTCTAGACCTTCATTGGCCCTGACCGTCCGTCAATATGTGACGGGTTGGGAGTGAGAACGTGTGTGTGTGTGTGTGTGCGCGTGCGTGTGTGACACACGCACACACACACACGCACTCACACACACACACACACACACATGGAAATAAAAAAAGTAGAAAAACATTTTGCTGAGTTTTAGACGTGTAATTTAATGCAATGCATATATGATGTGGACACTGCTAGAACACCCCTAAAGACAAACATTTTAGGGGTTTGATAGATTTGTTACAGGCTGCCAGTAAATTAGAATTGTCCAATTGCTTGTGATCTGCAGGGGCTTTTTATTCCATGTAGGCCTACATTATCTGAGACCTTAATTCGTCAATGCTAAACACAAGCTAGGAAGTTTGGTAGCAATAACTGGCCAAAATAAATCTGTACTAATAATGCACATTTCTTCATTTGCAACCTGACCATTGTCCCCTTTTATATAAATAATTCATATTTAAATGATACATCCCCCAATAATAAGCCCACGATGTAAATCAAAATGGTGTTGTTGTGTGAGATTCCTTTGAATAATTGCAATCTCTCTTAACTCAATGTTTAAATGTTTTAGTTCGCCAGTGCCGTTTTATTTTGAAAGGTATGACCGGAAATTGAGTCTGTGTTGCTTCTACTTTGACGATGCTCGTGACAAGCCACTCATTGATTTAAGCAGCGCCCACGGCATAAATGAGCCTCGCTCAGGATCGTTTCTTAGTTCAGACACGGACGGAGAGCAGACAGAGACAGTCTCTTCTCCTCCCCCTCTTCCTCCTCCGTACTCTTCCTCATCTCTCTTCTGTGTCTCTCCATCCATATGCGTCTTTTGGATACCTCTAGAGCGCGTCAGTCCGCCTGGATCAGTCCATCCTCCCTCCACATGTCCTCTCCACTGTAGTCCCACTGGACGCTGTTTTTAAGGTGATGATGATGATGATGATGATGATGATGATGATGATGATGATGCCTGGCTAAAAGGCTCGCAGCAGTCTTCATCCTCCAGCCAAACGCAGCGGGAGCGCCGCCTGAAGAAGAGCTTGGTGCTACTGCCTTCCTCTCTTGGAGCGATCTGCGTAAATGGATTTATGTTTGTCGAAGAAAAGTTGGATTTTGAAAAGAGCCCCGTGGACACGTAACATGGACAGATTCGGAGTGCGTTTGTAGAATCGGTGCTTTTGTGTTGGAATCACACCGGGAGAGGAGATGCACAGAGGTGAGTTGGAGCCGAGAGAATCCGAGATGCGCGTCAGGGTCCAGGGTGCGAGTTGGGCAGGAATATTCCACAGTTAATTATAAACTATAAATGAATGTACTTGTTTTTGTTTTGTTTTTCACCACAAGAGATGGTTTGTTTTCAGTATTTCAACCATGCAATTAGAGTGGCATGAAATAATAAAATACTGAATATCGATTAGTTTAATCTATCGTAAAAAAGAGACCGCTAATGCAATAGATACATTGGAAAACATTGCATCTCTCTTTGCTATATCTTTATTTCTCTGTATTTGATGTGTCTTTTATATCAACTTTCCATCTTGTGACCAATTGTGTTTCAATCTTTCTGTTTTATTGCCCACATAACTGATTGCAATTGCCACAAACCTAAGTGCTATTCAAGATCCAGTTGGTTAGCCTCACACATTTCTACGATTCAGCAGAAGCCAGCCAGGTTCTTCTGAGTTTGGTCGGTTTGAACCGGCTAGATCGACGTTAATGTGAAAATAAACTAAACTACTGTAACATGGTTCCTTAAACATATCATGATTCCACTGTTGCTTTTGAGAATGTCATCAAATTAAAAAGGATACGTTATTGTAATGTAAGGCTCCTATATGCTGGACCAGTTGAGCGTAATGTAATAATGGAGCAGAACCAGTGCAGCCAGTTTGAGGCTCTGAGGTGTGCCTCTGCCGGGCTATATGAGTGCAATGCGATTCTGATTTATGATGATAACGCACAGAAAAGGGCAAATCTATTTGAAACCCATCAGGGAGCATTAAGTGTTTCCTATAGCGGACACTTTGACTTCGTCTACATTTATCTCACTGACATAAAAACATGTTGTCCATCACACTATTCTACCCCAAAAAAGTGGTCACAGACAGAGGCACGTTTGCAGGTTTTGGTTTTAAAAAGGTGCCATTTTTTTCTTTAAGAATAGTTTGTATTGTTAATCAAGCCAAACGCTTTGGTTTGTTCTGATATTTATTTCACAAGAATACATTTATCTCACTGACATAGTTTGTCATAAAATTGATAGCAGATGCTAGGGTGGACTGGGGATGGTTGCAATACTTTTTTAATTTCTCTCATTTACTCGGAGCCTATTCGGTCGAGAACCATCAATTTGTTATATATTTAAATTACATATGTTCTCTAATTAGCCATTCCATTTAAATATGATGTTGTCTAAAATATAGGAAAGGAGCAAAGTATACGTTGCAACATACCCTGAGACAGTTGCAATACACATCATGGACTGTTGAAACATGTGTAAAATAGGCCTACTTCTAAATACACTATTCATCCTCTGCTGTGATCTGTGCCATAAAGTGCCACTATTTCAACAAGTTTTTTAGTTAAGTGTCTGATTTTCCACATTTTAGTTTTTTTAAACTGCACTTTCATGTTTGGAATGTTCTAGCACCGTTTACGTTGCTTTTAATGTTGGTAAAAAATAACACATTTTCATCGCAAATCACAAACTAGGTAAACAAGGTCAAATAACTATTTTCAGGGAAATAGCTATTTGATCTTCTGTAAACTGTACAATTTTCAATCATCTTACAATAATAAAAAAGGCATCTATAGCTATGTATAACTAAAATGCCCATCTTTAACAGTTTTCAATACAGTTAATTTTTACAGTACAACAATCAGCATAGTTTATTTAAAAGACAATGGAGGCCAGTGATGAACACAGGTTGTTGATCTGACACAATGAAGCAAGATGATTATACTTTTCCTCTTAGCATTGCTTTGGTCTGGCTCTACTCTTTACTGACTGGTTACATAAATTATAAGCTTATTGGCTATGCAAAACATAATGAGGGTCTCACTCTTATATCATCATGAAACATTTTGAAACGGTGACATTTTGGCTCTCCATACCTCCGACTCCCGCCACTGCCTCTCGCCAACAACAACTGAGACGCTCAGTGAAGCTTAGCTTCTTGAATCGTTGTTGCTAGCCGTTTCCGGTAGCTAGCCATGAAAGTAAACGGGTAGGCTAGCTAGCCGTAAAAGTAGGCTACATTTATGTTAATTGTATGTTTGTAGACAGAGTTATCTAATCATTTGTAGGCCTGTTTGTTCGCAGCAGTGCACCACCGGCACTAATCAGAAGTTATAACCTAGTGAGGCTATAATTAGCTCCTAAGCGACCACAGGTGTAGCCCACATCCTGTCACCTGTCATTCCACAATGGTGTCATTCTTAGCTTTACTGTTGTAGCCCCATTATTATGTAGGACTATTATGTAGCTTGTTTGTAGGAGTTAGCCTTTTCATTTAGGCCACACTTTCTCATTTGGACAGGATAAAACGGAACCCCACATTAGCAGGAATAATAATAATCCTTATATTTATTATAGCGCTTTATCAAAGACTCTCAAAGCGCTTTACAAATACACATACAGATCATACATGTAATGGTCATTTACTGTGGACAATACCCACAGGAGCAAATTCGGGTGAAGTGTCTTGCCCAAGGACACAACGGCCTGACTCAGTGGGGCGGGAGCGGGTTTCGAATTGGAGTTCCCCAACGCCCCCTTGATCTGATGATCAAACGCACAGACCACTGCGCCACCCGTCCCTAAATGTTATCCCAACCCCTACTCCGTCCGCTCTGTGTTACAGAAGGCTGGTGGCCTATGTGTTGCTTTATTTTGCAAGTCCTTGTTACATTTAAGGTAAAAGTAGAAGATTATCACCGGATTTTGGCTGTGTTATAAGCCAAATGAAATGCCATGACCCAGAATAGCAGGGCAATTTGTCTTTTTCAAAATGAGCAGAGGCCAGATAAAAACGTCTTTGTTTTTTGTTGACTTTTAATGTGAGGAATATTTGTTTTAAGGACTTTACTTAATATCCGGAGGCAGGACAGCAGATAGAAAGAGTTATGCCTGTTGGATGACCTGTATTTACAGTAAACCACTTCATCATCTAATGTTATACACACTTTCAAAAGAGGGTTTCTTTGTGTTGAAGTGACAACTCTGTTTAGCGTGTGATTTATTTATAATATTACAAAAGCTGTTACAAATACCTGCATAAATGATGCAACTTTTACCTAATAACTTATTTTAAATATTGATATGCTTGATGATACACATTCCTACCTCTGCAGCTCCAGGCATGTGTTTATCTCGCAGGTACTGTTCAACAAAACTGTTGTTTATTATTAACCCATATCATTTGAAATGATCACAGATAGGCCTACCTAGTTTTTTTTCGAGGGCAACATCATGTAACAGCGTCCCTGCTATCTACACAATTCATTATAATGAGTTTATTATAATCTGGAAAAAAATCCTCAGTAAGAGCCCAGAGCACATCTCTGTTGTACGCTTCTTGAGTGAGTTTGGGTGGTCTGCTCTCTAAATGTTATGTGCCTGTGGTAGTGACTCCCACCTACGATACTTCATTGCAAGATAATGGAGATAGAAGTAATGAGGAAGCCGTAGCCTGGGGGGTGTGTGTGTGCGTTTCAAAACGAGTCCATTCAAACATGCATTTGCTCGGTAGTATTCAACACTTGTGTTAACCATGCATTCCTCTTCATTAGACCCCCCGCTCTTTCTCTTTATTTCCTGCTCTCTCGATCCCTCTCTCCTCCACCCTTCTTCCCTGGGTGCCATTATGCAACATGCCACGCTCGCGCTTGCTCCGTAATTCGATGTGAGCGGGCCAACCTATTATGAACTCAGAGGGGATCAGGTCTACGGTGGTTTATCAGAGCGAGGCAACGTCCCCGCCGCCCCCCCCCCCCCCCCCCCTTCAGTGCAGATATCGCTGTGTAATACAACATATTTAACCTATTGTCTTTAGCCGTGCTCAGCCCAAATGACTGCTGTAAACTTTGGAGCCTGTAATACTGTGATTCTGCTAATGTTTCTGCTGCCTAGAGGCTACAGATTATAGATTGATGGTTTAAAACTATCTTGCTGCTGCTCATATTTTTACTGGTAGTAGCCTATTACCGATATCCAATTCCACTGCAGAGCTACTACTCTACTCTACGTACTACTACTTCTAATTCCGTCGCTTCTTTCATTATTCCATCTATGTAGCCTACCACTAGTGCGACCATATTACTTATAGCCTACTACAAATACTTTAACATTGCTGCTGAATTAAACTAAGGTACCATAGACTAAACACATCCATTAAGTTAGAAAGACATCTATAAAAAAACACATCAGGTTTGCGTCTGTAGATTTCTACTAAATTCATAAAAAGGTTGTACTTGGTTGTAGTTCATGCGTTATTTGCATATTTCACCATACAACACGTCTTTATTTACAATTCATGAATTATCATCCAAGAAGAACATGCTGTCTGATGTCACTTCACTAATCGAGCAAAAGATGCTGAATATCACTGGTGACATTGAACACATAAAAAGCAGTGATGGAAAAAAGTATCCAAATGTGTTACTTGAGTAAAAGTACTAATACCACACTGTAAAAATACTTAATTTCAAGGATAGGTACTGAATTGAGAATGGTACTTAAGTAAAAGTTTGGAAAAATAGGACAATTAACCTGAAGTATTCAAAGTAAACATACTCATTGCAGAAAAAACTCTTGCTTTAAATATTTGAATAGCAAATCTTGACATTTAAGAAGCCGGAACTGCGAAATAATTATGAACAAAAAACGTATTATTACTTAATTTTCTGTTATCACTCATGGTTTTAATGACTTTAATATATGTTGGGTGGTTTAATCTATATACCAAATATTTATATTAAAAAATGTTTCCTAAGTATTGGGTTTCAAAATCTGAAGTACAAGTACCTCAAATGTGTTAAGTACAGTACTTGGGTAAATATAGTTAGTTACTTTCTACCACTGATAAAAAGCATGTAATAAATTGAGGTGTATGACAACCTACCTCACATGTTAACATCTTCTAGGCTATCTTTTGCAGTCTTGTAGCTCCATCATTTTTAAGAGGGTTCATCACTAACAGTCTCTGAAAATGTCCATCTTGTATTGGCAATATCCTAGTATTAAAAACACAGGCCTTCATATGATTATATTCCCACAGCCATCCTCCTCCTTTCTCAGCAACACATGTTTTAATTAAATCAGGGATTTACTCGAAATTTGTATTGATTTATATTTGCTCCTTATTCATCAAGGTCAGGTTGCATCAATATTGCAGCTGTTCACACGTGTTGAAAGGATGTATCTTCTTTCCGATGTTGAACACAAGGACATAAACGCATTATTAACTGTGGCTTATGTGGTGTATCTTTTTTTTTTTTTTTTACAGCGTGGATACTCTTCTTTCTGATAGAAGAGGGTTTTGCTCTGGCACAGCGAACTAAAGGTAAGCTCCGGCTGAAATTCTCTTCTCTTGCAAAAATGCTGTTATGAAAGTAAGCAGTGTAAAGCAGGAGTATTATTTATATTCGCATCACAGGACAAAATGGTTTATTCTGTTCTGCCTTTTCCCCGTCTTTATTCCCTGCCTGTTTTTTCCTCCTTCTCACGCCAACCCTCTTCCCACTCTCCCTGCCTTCCAATCATTCGCTCATTGATCCCCTGACTCAATAACCCATCTGTGCGTCTGTTCTGCTTCAAGATCTCCCAAGCGACCATGGCGCCCAGACCCCCAACCAGAACGACTGCGGCACGTGGGTCCGCAACATCAACGGTGGGGTGTTCACGTCGCCAAACTACCCCACGACGTACCCACCCAACAAGGAGTGCGTTTACATCCTGGAAGGTAAAACACACGGCTCATTTTCATCTTCATTTCCTGCTCGATGCAGCTGTTTTCCCTTACAGCCTCACAGCCTCCTTCAGTGAATGTCGTTAGTATGACTGACATCGTTTTATATAACCTCGCCCCTATCCCATCTTCTGTTCCTTCGCCGTTGGACAATCAGCTTGGCATTTTTCGAATGAGTTTGTTTCACCCCACAGATATAACCTCTCTGAAAATGATGGAGAGTGGCGCTGCATTGTGGGTAGCCCTCTGACTTTTGGCCTAATCAGAGTAGTGCTGCGTTTATCCCCTTTGGCAGTGTGTGCCAGAAGACTCTGCTATTGAATAAAAAATGATGAACATCTGTTACACAACTGAGCTTTGGTTGCGTATCGCTGGAGCGTCCTTGTCAATGCTTTCCAGAAATATCACATCCATCAGTAATTTAGTGGCCTGCCACGCGGGAGACATAATGGAATCATTAGCGGCTATAGGAGATGAGGTCGGGGGTTTTGGCTGATGTGTTTTCACACTAAATTGATGAACTGTTTGTCCATGAAGTTGATGTATAGCCTTTAATGAGATGTGTGAGCTACTCCTCTGGCTGTGGTGTGGAGTAGATTAACACATGGCTCGAGGGCTCCCCCTGTGGATAAATCAAGCCTACACCTATTGTTGACGAATAAGCCTTCATCCCAGGCAGCCTACTGGTGTGTGCAAAAGAACACCACAGTGACAGATGGAACCTATCATTTGGTCTTGAATGGCCTTACTCATATCCATATCCGAGCTCCACTGTTGAGCCTATAATTCTGTTGCAGAGATGCTACTGTTTGGCACAAGCGCTAATCAGAAAACTTTGTAGTCATAATGCGTGGTTATTAAGACTCACCAATTATGTCAGTTCATCAGCTCAATGCATCGAGTGGTTATCAAGCTGCGTGTGTGTGTGTGTGTGTGTGTGTGTGTGTGTGTGTGTGTGTGTGTGTGTGTGTGTGTGTGTGTGTGTGTGTGTGTGTGTGTGTGTGTGTGTGTGTGTGTGTGTGTGTGTGTGTGTGTGTGTGTGTGTGTGTGTGTGTGTGTGTGTGTGTGTGTGATAGAAAGTTACACAGAGAAAGAGGCTCAACACACCAGGGGGTGAACACACAGGAAGTGCAGGCACACAAGCTGCTCACTGAAGCAGAAAGGGAAGGCTCAAATTCAAAGAAGAGAACAGAGACACAATCTCAGAAGCACACTGCAGCGTACGCATGTAACCGCCCTTGACATCGCTCTCTTTTTTTCCGATTTCGTGGCATGTTCAGCTTCTCCCTGCCACAGATGATTCACACCCCCCCCATCCTTAGCGTCTTTATTTAGTACGATTCATATCCCAAGGCAGGCATGATTTCCGCTCGTTAAACACTTCCTGTGAGCTCTGTCCATGCAGTATGGAGACATGTATGACGAGCGACTTGTGAACAGTTCATGCTGTGGTTGCAGTGTTCTGGATTCACCGACTGAGAGATGGCACTGCTGACATATCAGGCCCTGTCTCCGTTTGTGTGTGTGTGTGTGTGTGTGTGTGTGTGTGTGTGTGTGTGTGTGTGTGTGTGTGTGTGTGTGTGTGTGTGTGTGTGTGTGTGCAACTGTGATGCATCCCTGATGTGTGGATATGCCCCTTTGAGTTTGATTTATGTTATCTGTAAAGGATACGATAGTCGGCTTGTTCTGTTCTCTCATGATTTATGCATGCATTGGTCATACACGCTTTTAATATTGTCAAGCATGATTGAAAGGCGCAAACCAAAGCATGAACAACGTGTGGATGATCTTATAAGGTCTTAAGTTCAAGTAAGTACATAATTATGTGGTCTTTAGTCACGGCTCCAAAAGTAAGAAACATTTTAAAATTCACTACTAATAATACTTGAAATGTCCGATACCAGTTAAAAGTGATACAGATATCGATAGAGTAATGCATTTTTGATTGCTTTTTAAATGAATTGTGTTCCCACCAACTGAATGGATGCTTTCAGTTGCCTAAAGTGCAGCCATCAATCATCCCATTCCAGATGATTTTTACACATTTTGAAAGTGTTTGAATTATTCAACTATTTATTTATACCATGCTCAACTTCACCGAACCACAGACTGTAAAGGTTGTAGCAGCTATGGTAGGGGGCAAATCACACCTTGCATTAAATCAAATAACTCAATGGGAGGGTCAGTGGGTCAATCCCCAACCCTGCAGTCAACATGTTGAAGCATCCTTAGGCAAGATACTTGACCCCAAATTGCTCACATGCATATATACAGTTACATGTATGTAAGACGCGTTGGATAAAAACCTCCAGCTAAATGTCATCTAATGTATTTTTCTTCTTTGACTGTAATTTATACAGTATATACAAATGTACATATATAAAAATTATTGTGCAACCAGTGCCTTTATTGTAGAGAAATAGTTGTTATAGAGAGACAGAGAGGATTTCATGCAGCAATTGTTCCAGAGCCAGATTCGAGTGTCCTCTGCTTGGGGACCCAGTGCATGGGTCGTGTCCTGGTTTATTTGATTGGATTCTTGATCAATACCGAGAACCCAAACCCAGCCATGCCAGTGTTGAGCTAAGGTTATGCTTCCTCAGGGCTGATATGCAGCAGTGCATGCTCCCTTTAGTGCTCCAGGTGCCCAATATTGCTCCATCATTCTGCATTCATATCCTGTCATTGAAATGCAGCTATGTCTGAGTGCCAGAAGGTCATCACTCTAACAGATAGATCAAATCAGTAATGTTACAAATTCCATGTTTGAGAGGGGCTTTACGTTCCTTCACGTCACTCTTAGCAAACTTCTGAAAAGTCAGTTGAGGGTTACGTAACAGCCCAAGTGTTCAACTTCAAAGTCCATATTAACTCATATTTGACTCTTCATGCATTTGATACTTTCCAGATTGTTCTTTGTCCTGCAAAATACAAGATTGAATTTGTGTTCCGGTCATGGATTTACCCCTATTGTTCCCTTTCTTTTCCCCACTCCCTCATTCCCCAAAGCTCTACCCAGACAAAGGATCCAGCTGGCTTTCGATAAGAATTACTACATCGAGCCATCTTTCGAGTGCCGCTTCGACCACATCGAAATCCGGGATGGGCCATTTGGGTTCTCGCCCCTCATTGATCGCCTGTGTGGGGGAAAGAACCCGGGACTGGTCACATCGACGGGACGTTTCATGTGGATCAAGTTCACTAGCGACGAGGAGCTGGAAGGACTCGGATTCCGGATTAAATACACCTTCATCGCGGGTAGAGTCACTTAAGCTGTGTCTCTGCAGGGGATGTTGTTACACAGTACACTAAACTACATTTATTTGACAACCCACTTTTCAGATGAACATTTCGCATTAAAAAACATGTGATAAACATTTAACTAAAGATTAAACCAGTGCAATAGCTGTTTGGGAAACAAAATGGAAATATTAACCAATATATTTCTAAAAGTTAAGAAAGAAAGTCTTAAACATGAATAATTATCAGATCTTTGTTTGTCTCCAACAGTAAAATGCTGCTTGATGGAACAATGACCACAATATAATAATGTGACATATAAACACATACAATGATAAATGAGATATGGAGCGCATTTCTTCTGAAATTAGTACTTTTACTTGATATGCTGTAATTACATTTGCTGATAAAACTTTGACCTGAGTGGTCCAATCTCTACCAGTCATGCGACACCCTTCTTCCTTGAAACATATTTTCTCTTGTTGAATACCAGTAAAGATGATTTAGCATGGGCTAGCTGGACATCCACAGGTTGCTAACGGGCCCTCCAACATTATAGCCTTCTTTCTTTACTCTTCTTGCTGTACAGCAGACACGTTCCACATCAGAGCCTTCTGAATCCAAAACCCAATATGCCTGAAATCAATGTCTCCCATCAGGCGACCGATATTAACTTCAGAGAGACCCCTTTCTGCGTTATCTGGCCCGCCTTCATGGGATCTTATCTTGTGTTCTCTGCTTACCAATTTCTGCTGTGCGGATTGAGACTAATGTGCCTCCCAAATCTTATAATTTTTAGACCCTGATTTCCATCTGCACGTGGGCGGACTGCTAAACCCCATCCCAGGTAAGCTCTTCAGAATTTGCGTTCGATCCTTTTTGAAGAGCTCCTCTGTGCTCAGAAGCTTACCGGAGGCAATCTCTGCGTCTGACATGAATACTGAACACGCAAATGTACCTTGACAAGCACACAATTGTAAATGAATTGAACGCATGTACATACAGTACACACACATTTAAACACATGAAGGAACACACTGTTTCTTTTTTCCTCACTGTCTCTCTTGCCTTTGTTCCTCTGTCTTCTTATTGTCTTTGTCCTAATCCGCTGTGCTCACTTCAATTCCACCTTAAATCTTCTTTAAATAAAACCCTTTACCTGTCTCCCTGCCTCCTCTTCCCATCGAACCCTTTTCCTTTTGCTCTTCCTCCTCTCTTTCTCCACTTTTTATTCTATCTTCTCATGTGCCCCTATTTGACCTTTCCTGTCTTCTCCTTCGTCTTTCCTCCCCCCTCCACATTTCCTCTGTCTCTGTACAGACTGTCAGTTTGAAATTGGTGGATGGGATGGGATTATTCGCTCCAGTCAGGTGGAGGAGGAGGAGAAAGTGAAGCCTGGTGAAGCTCTGGACTGTATCTGGACCATCAGGGCTCCTCCTCAGTCCAAGGTCAGTACAAGGGAACACATTAGTTCTCATTGCTTCTATTTGATCCCATAACCTATTGTTGGTTATTTCCAAACTCTCCATTTTAACATAGCTTTTATGCAAATGTTCAGGTTCATATTTGGTTTTATCAGTGTCTTTACTGCGACATGTCTCCATGCTTTAATGTTCAAAAAGCTCTTTATTTTCCTCATACTGCCTGTGCTGCAGCACCTCTTTTCACCCTCTGTCTGAAACCAGAGCCCAGTCTGCTCTGATTGGTCGACTGGCAGGCTCTAAAGTGATTGGTCAACCACTAAAATATGTCCCGTCCCTTAGCCAATCATGTGGAAATGTTTTGGAGCACTAGCCAATAGAAACATGAGAGTAACATGTTAATGTCATTATGTTACAGAAGTTAATAAACGAGTCCAATCAAGGCGTTTCAGGCAGGGGGGTGTGTGTGTGTGTGTGTGTGTGTGTGTGTGTGTGTGTGTGTGTGTGTGTGTGTGTGTGTGTGTGTGTGTGTGTGTGTGTGTGTGTGTGTGTGTGTGTGTGTGTGTGTGTGTGTGGTGTGGTGGTGTGTATGTGTGTGTGTGTGTGTCTGATAGGACCTCTTTAACACACTTAAAGTACTTATGAAATAAAATATATAAACATCCTGAGATCTCACAGCATCATTTAGTATTCAAGGTCCTGCTCCACTGAACTATTTTGCACATCTTTCCGAGGGCTTTTCATAAGCAGAATGTTTCTAACTGCACTCATGGTTAAAATGACTGTAACGTGTGGCAATGGTTTGAGAGGCTTTTACAAATGATACAATTGCTCATTGTGGTGAAGCATGCCGTCTATCCTAGAAAAGATATGAACAGACTCGAGGGGTGAGAACCAGAGGGGCGTAAGTGACATTTAACCAACTTTACAGGAGAGCCAAAACAAAAAATGACCATACTTTATCCTGACTTTGTTTATTAAATTCAATCTTTAATATGAAAACTTCATAAACATGTGGATGACAATATACTTAATGAACAATATTTTGACTTTCATTGAAAAAAATATTCTTCTATTTTTTTTAAATTCGGAATAAAATCACATGCGCCTTTTTGAAACTAAGATTTTATATCATATGAACTAAAAAAAAGGGCGTATCTGATAAATATAGGAAAAAGGCTTTACATTAATGAGGTCAAAAGTAACAGTAATCAATTGTTATAATAACAATATTATATGAAAATATCCTTATATCATATTAGTTCATTGAATGTAATTATTTTAAAAAAAAAAACATTAATAACCATTTTGCCAAATAGTTAATTATTTAGCCATTTCCCCAAATAACGGATTGAAAATAGGCTACCATCATCACAATGGACTCTCCATTGTGATCATATAAAATATCAATATCACATTAGTTCACTGAATAACAATAAATTACATTAAACCTGGCCTAATAACTGTTTGGCAAATCAAAAACTACTTTAGAACATTGGGAATGTCAAATATAGCAATATAATTATATACGACAACAGCATATTTCATGCAGATCATGTAAGTTTCAGATTGATTTGAAACGACAAACTAGCCTACTCTGCCTACATAGGAGTGAGGGATACTCCCATTTGTGCGAGTATGTCTTTCTTTTTCACAGCAGTGATCCCAGGTGGACCTGTGTGCATCTTCTTTGGTTCAATTGCATGAGCACCTCTGGTCTCCTGCTTTCCAGCTTGCAGTTTGGTCGGACAGCTCATATTTGAACTGAATCCTTTTCGGATCCTCTTTTGTGATCCTGATCCTGATTGTGATTCTGATCCTGATTGTGATCCTGATCCTGATTGTGATTCTGATCCTGATTGTGATCCTGATCCTGATTTTGTGATCCTCTTTTGTTTTTGCCATTTCATTTTCTGCCAACAAACTGTTTGTCTCTCTGTGTCTTTGGTTCTGTTTCGGACCGTGTGTTGTAGGGCTGTGCAATTAATCGTATTTTAATCTCGATTACGATTTTGGCTTGCAACGAGGTCCACAGTTTCCCCGCAGCGAGGCCCCCCCCCCGCCCCCCTGTTGACAGTTCACGAGCGTACCCCCTCGACTTCATCCACCACATCACAGTCATCAATTAAGGACGCACTTTACAGTGCAACGGCCTACTCAACCAGCTCGCAAGGACACAAAGATATAACAGATCCATCACATTCTACATAGCTAAAGACATGTGCCCGGTTAGTACGGTTAGCAACCAGGGGTTTAAGCAACTGGCTAACACTATGGACAAGCGTTAAGCGATGCCATCTCGGCATCATTTCACCAGATCTGCACTGCCTGCCCTATATGACAAATGCCGTGGGGAAGTTAAAAAAGATGTGGCTTTAGCTGAATACTTTGCAGTTGAGTTATACTTAAAGTGCAGGGTAATCAACTGTTAAAAAGATACTGTTCAAATTATTATTTATTTTTTAAAGTTCAATAAATGGATGTTTTCAAAGTCAATGAATAATCGTATTTAATAATCGTGATATCAATATTGACCAAAATAATCGTGATTATGATTTTTGCCATAATTGAGCAGCCCTAGTGTGTTGTGAGAAGGACTTGAAATCCAGAAAGTCACTGTACCCAAGCTCAATCACCTTCTATGGCCTGTTCCCCCTTGCCATCCTCACAAGAGTGTACAGTAGTACCCCCTCCGAACTGTACACAGGCCCTTTTTTTCTGTCGGTCTCAATGGCTGCATGAACACTGTCACATTCCATCTTGCTGTGCACACTCCATGAATGTATGATCAATAATGGAGATGGGCAAGGTTTTAACTGCATGGAGACACATGGCACTAAAACCAGCATTCCTGTTCTGCCCACCACATGTGTCAGAGTACAGCACCACATGCTCAGTACCTGAAAGAGTTGACAGATACTGGAACATGCATGTTCTGATCTCTGATGAGTTGAATTCTCTGTTGAAGATGGATCTGTAGAAACTAAGTGTCCTTTGTCACTCAGCATTGACTTTGAATCCTGGATTATTTCATTCTCTTCATCAAGCTCTTCTGCATCTTGAAATAAGCTTAGTAACACTTCTTCAGCAGTGAAAAGCTTTCTTCTCATGGTTGACCTAGCTTGCTTACATATGGTGTCAGCCATGTTGACTCAAGTGCTATCCAAAGGCTTTACCCATAATACATTTCTCAGGGCCAAAAGGGCGTAAGTGCACTTACGCCCTTTTGGCCCCAAATAGTTCAGTGTGTTCTGTGTTAGGTCATTTGGTTTTTGATGAATAACTCTGGATTGGTTTTGAATTCACATGCACCCTTTTGGTAGTAGAAAGAGCTCATTGAGAGCTTTCATTTGATATATATAACTCATTTTTGACCAAAATGTCACTTACTGGTTCTGGTTCTCACCCCTCGCAGTCATCCAAAATAAGAAATCTGATGAGAAATAGTTGAAGGCTTGTAAACAGAGATAAATTAGGGGTGATGTTCTGAATATAAAAAAGAACCGCTCAGAAATCTAAATAGCATGTAGTAAGCTTTTAGTATCAACATAAAATCTCCCTTTATACTGTTTTGTCTTGTGTACTGTCATAGCAAAGGTGATGTCAGTGCATGTTTCTGTGAAGAATTCCAGTAACAATGAATGTGTTTGTCTGGGGTTTTCCTGAATTTCATATTTTGTAGGAATATAAATAGCATATAGTTGTGTTCTCGTTGAGAAAATATACTCTGGTGGTCATGTCTGTGCTGTGGATGTCATTTAATGGGTAGTGCTAATACACAGAGAGGTTAACACATTTATAAAATACAGCCCTGAAGATTTGTTAACAAATCAAGAGTGAAAGCCCGGTAATGTGTGCTCTCATAGGTTCTGATATTTACGAGTGGATATCCTAAACGCCACTGAAGTTCCAAACATACCCTGCCTAGCCTTGAGTCAATGCCGCTCTGCTTCCACCTCACGGCTAAATGAGTCATCAGCACGCTCCTGTGCTTCCGCCTCGCCATCAACACACACATTCATGCACATCACATTAAGTATAAAACAGCAGCTGACACAAACAGTCACAAATTACATAATATACTGTCACATAGGGTATTGTTAGCAATTACACAGTTTACACTCATGTTTCAAAAGTCATATGCATACACACGTAAACATTCATGCATGAAGCTCTGCCTAACATCTCTCTCACACACAGATTATACTGTAATTTCACTGGTCAGACATGTGCAGTGAGGGGCAGCAGTGAAGAGGGTCTGAATTTAGCTACAGCCTTGAGTCACCGCGCCAGATATTAGCTCGACCCAGCAGAAGGAGCAAAGCAGCAGCAGCAGCAGCAGCAGCAGAGCAGCCTCTTATGCTGCGTGGTTACAGGTGCCTGTGGGCTGAATGTGCTGAAGTTTAATCTAAAGTTTTCAACCTACCGCTGAATCAAACAATTCAAAGACATTATTTTCTCATTACTTGGCAGGATGAGATTCAACACTTAGGTGCCAACGCTGCTGTGAGGACATGTGGCTGGACAAAACACAGGCTGTGTAGGCGAATTTAACAGAGCTTCCAATCACAGTAGGAAAAGAACAGCTGTAAATGTAAAAGAAGAGACAATATCAACATTTCATGGCTTACTGGGACACAACAGATCAGAGTAGGGATATGAGGAAAACATATGACGACGTTGGAAATTGTAATAAAGTATTTACTTGCAATAAACAATGCAATATTATACTGCCTTTCGGCTGCTTTCAGTATAGAGTGGTGCAGGAATGAGTTCCAAACCCTGGAAATGAGTTTAAGCATTTCCGGGCTCCCTCTTCTCAAAATCAATGATCTTTTCAAATAATTGTAATGTCTGTGGTAACCATTACCTTACAAGAATTTCCCCTTTTGTTCTTTGACATAAAATATGTCAGAGAATACCAAATTGGTGAAAGTCTGAAAAACAGCGGTTCCTAACAAATCGCCAAATAAGACTGCTAAATGTCATAACTCCGAACATTAGCCAAGTATGTGATCGTTTATAGCCCAACATGTTAAACTTGTGTTTTTGCACAGATCTTAATGTATGCAACATTCCAAACCCTAATGGAAATATCACATTGCTTCAAAAAAACATATGATTGTGTTGAAAAATCACAATTATGATAATACTTACCAAGCGATATGAAGAGTTCTCAACTCTGACTTTCTGCTACTGTCAGTACACGTCTTAAATACAACAGTTTCTCCAAGTGAGCACATAGAGTATGCTCAGTCCCTGTGGCTTTCTCTAAATTGAGACACATCCCAGAGAAAAGAGGAGACTGAGGTAGACGTAACAGACCACGACAGATATTTTTAGACTGACTTTTCTCAGGAGCAGAGTTATTAGTGTATAAATTAAGCATGCTTGCATCACAAGTTATAAAAGATTTAGATTATTTGATTTTATTGTCCATCAATACATCTGTGGTCGATCTTCTTTGTGGTTTACCCTGTCCCTATCCAAGCATGCTCTAGCAAAGACATAGGGAGATCGCCAATCTATCAAAGGGGTTCTACTCTGATCTGTTCCTTTCTATTCATTACTGGTGTCTGGATGTTTTAAATCTATTTGCTTTCCTGATTTAATGCGGTGCCATATTTCCCATGTATTTGCCTTCATTAAGAGTGCAGTTTCTGAATGTCATTAGACAGCTGTGCCATTTATCTAAGTCTTACCGGGAGTTATGCCCTTCATTTAATTTGCTCCTCCTGTCTGTTTGCAGATCTACCTGCGCTTCATGGAGTACCAGATGGAACACTCCAATGAGTGCAAGAAGAACTTTGTGGCCGTGTACGATGGCAGCAGCGCCATCGAAAACCTCAAGGCCAAGTTCTGCAGCACCGTGGCCAACGATGTGATGCTAGATAACGGAGTGGGAGTCGTGCGAATGTGGGCTGACGAGAAGAGCAGACTCAGCCGATTCCGCATGCTCTTCACCTCATTCGTTGACCGTGAGTACAACATACCTCAGCGTTGGCCGTACTGGCAATACCTTTTCTATTCACACACTTTAAACTCTTTTTGCTATTACTTAGAAGTTCATTGCCTTCTCAAATAAGTGGTGCAGGGATGACTTATTTCTGTAGGCTGACCCCGGTAGAAAGCGTCGCAAATTGTCCAGCAATGAAAGCCAATGGGATTGTTCTATTGGATTTTGGAATATTGTAGAAAAAAGATCTGAGCCAAACCAAAGTTAAAGCACATTTTGTTCAGCAGGGTATTTTCCACACCAACACCGCTATGCTAAAGGCAGCTAATGTTCGGCGTGATGACGTTTAGTAGTCTCATTTAGCCTCTAGATATTTACTGATGTATTTCATGTCCTATATCAAAACAGGGAAATCTCCAAAGCTTGTGTTGCCCCACCTTATATCGGGAGTCTATCTAAAACCATTGACTGAAGACAAGGGAACCTGGAACTACTCAAAAGCTCATTTCCATGTATAGGTCTCATTCCTTCACCACAGCTATCTCTTCACTTATTACAACAGGATGAGCTTCATTACACAGTGATTGATTTTGAACTGATTGTTTGTCTGTTTTGTTACAGATAGATCTGAATGTGTTCAGAAGTATACTGATAGCTAATAGACAAAGCTCCATTCCAGTTGCCCCTCATAACTCTCTGTGTGACACTCTGTAATGGATTAAAAGCTGTATCCACCCACACACAGAAACAGATACAAGAACAGTTGATTTATGAGGTCCTGCTTTCTGCCTGCATCTGTAGGCACTAACACACACTGTGTATCAACTGTCATCTCTGAGAGGAAAGCTAATTACACTGTGCCATGTTTATAGCATAGATATGAGAAAACCAATTATTTATTCCAGGATTTTAAAATACCAGAAAGTAGGAAATGTTTTTATATGCATGTCACATCGTGATACAGTGGCTATTATAGGCCACTTACAAAGGAAAATAGGAATGTATCTATTTTGGTGAAAAGAAAAGTAGGGTTCATTTATCTAATGGAAGTATTAATACATTAAGTTTTAGCATTTCTGAATGACAAAATACGTTCAAACGGATGTTGTTAGAGGTTTCTCATAGAGTAGCAGGAATTACCATTCTGGAAACATTTTTTCTGTTAGCACCGTAATATTTGCATGAAATGCCTGAATAGACAGAGAAATTAATTACCACATTCTACTGCACAAGTCCCAAATCCTAAGTGAATGCTAATGGTGTTTTCATCAGCAAACCCAGAACCATTGCAACCTAATGGCATTTTAAATTCAGCAAGGGTGTATTCTTTTTTTTAATCTGAGAGTCCTTAATACCGTTTGGTTCCTCATTCATTCTGATCACATAATTCATTTCAGAGAGTCTCTTGAATCACCCACACACTTTATTTGTTCAGAGTCAGGGACTGTCTCAAAGTTTACTTGGAGGTCAGAGGGAGACATTCATCTTTGTCACTCAGAGAACAACTTGAGGTTTGCCTCCTGCCAGTGGCGTAACATGGTTGTGATTGGCCCCGGTGCAAATATTGTTTTGGGGCCCCCCACCCCCATCGACCCAAACATAAGTGCACGCTGATGCGCTCACACACGCACGGACATACACAACCACTCAGAAGCACCACATGTATAGGCTATCAACAACAGCCTGTCCTGGCCTCAAATCACCACAGCCTGACAACGGCACAGCGAATTAAGAAGAAGATTAAACCTGTTTCCTTGATGTTTGTCTCTGGGGAATGGGCCGGTAGGCCTACATAGACCGGTCGCTATAATATAGCTTTTGATCTTGGTGTTGGGGGTCTCAATAGCGCCATAGAGTCCCCTATCGGTTGAGGTCCTTGGGGGAACTGTTGGACCACCGCCGGGCACAGCCAAATCCAGACACAGCCACGGCCACGGATACAGCTTCACTTGTGGAGCTAGATGGCAATGATGGTGGTGAGGCAGGTGAGCTATCGTTAGCCTCTGGCTCCGGCTGCCGCTGCATGTCAACATTGCTAACGTTAGCGCTCAATTTCGAGGACAATGTATGACAAAAAAAACGGTCTAATTTTGTCAGTTTAGCTGTTACATCTCCTTGTTCTCTCTTGTCCTTTCTCTTTTGAGCACCGCTCTTGTGCTTTGGTTTGCTGTACATTATAAATGCAAGCTATTACATTTTTCATAATGCTACCGAATTTGCTGCTGCTAGCTACAGTACAGTACAGGTTGATTAAACAGTTCGCTCGTCACGCAAGGTATCACATGACATGAAAGGGAGCAAGGTCATTGGACAGACAAATTACAAATTAATTTAGGTTGCTTGGTTACTTTGAAGACTGCGTGAACCGGTCAATGCCATTGGGGCCCCAAAACACCAGCTGCACCGTCAATAGTTACGCCACTGCCTCCTGCACTTTGTCTTCTTAGCACCCATTTCCAAATGGCGCCTTTTTCTCTGAACCTGCCTCTTATTTCAAATGTTTCCAATGAGAACAGAGCATGTCGTCACATACAGCAAATTCAAGAAACAGCTCTTCAACAGGCGTGGCTGTTTCTATGCGATCGCTCTGAGCGAGTTGAAATTTGTTTACTTTTTAGAAAAGGGCTTGTGACCTCACTGTAGAAGTTAGAAGAAATGCTTGTCAACAGCAGTGATACATTATTGAGATATCGTTCTCATTGAAACAATAAAAAAAGCACTGGGATTGTTTTTTGATGAAACACTGGAAGGAAGATCTGCCAGCACCTTTCTCAGAGAAAAGGGTGCACAAACCCATAATGTGCTATAACCATCCAACAGAAGCACCTCTAAATCCAAAATATTAGGATGCTACTGAACACATATACAGGCACACTGGCATACACACCCATTGTGAGTATGTGTGTGTGTGGAAGGAGGGTGGGGGTAAGAGGGTGAAGCCTTGTTGACACCCTGTGTGAAAGGCTACATTTTGAAGGCGGGACACACATAATGGATTTGGAAGCGATCACAGTGTCAGAGGAGAGGCTCGGTCTACAGGGAGATAGATGGGGTGGACCCTCTCACTCGCATAAACACACACACACTCACACAATCACTGTGGACCTCGGAGCAGAGCGTGAAGCTGGTGGAGCGGACCACAGTCTGTTTCAGCTGTGATAAAGACTCAGCGGCTGCAAATCCAGAGCTGGAACATTGGGGGAAAGCGGCTGGTGGAAGAGAGAACGGGCCAAAGAGACTGAAGGCTGGGTATAATGTACAGGCCTTCTCCTGTCATGATGCACTTGCTGAGATACTGACCAAGAAAATAAGGAGAAATCCCTCCATGTTTGTAGTAGGGAAGAGGGTGTGTGCACTTCCTGACTGTTTTTGGCATAATCTTTTCTGTCCGTGCTTTTTGATATCATTTTGCAATCTATCTTATAATGTTATTTTTCAAGATTTTTACTATTTATCTTTGTCTGTACACATGGCATGTATTGATTGTGTGTCGGTCTTGGTTGAGGGCTATCCCTTCTGTTACACTGACTTCGATTTCTTCCTTTTTTTATCCCCTCAAAATCGTTTTTGGTGGGAATTGTTCAGGTTTGTGATTTAAGATTTAGTGCTACAGGGATCAGTGAATGGAGAAAGGGAGGGAAGGAGGAAGGAATATATGGTCGAGGGGTTTGGGGGATGAGGGTAGGGACGTGGGGATGATGAGATGAAAGGATAAAGGAAGGGAGGGATCTCTGTTTTTGACTTTAATATATCAAAACAGAAAAATGAAATTTGTATTAATGATCAACAGTTAACTTTGTGCCTGCCTGCTACACAATTCATTGGGCCAGAATAAAAAATAAATGAAATATTATGCATCTGCTTATCAACAGACTTCAGCTATATCTATCCCCACTCCTCTCATAAGAACCAGGTTTCCCTCACATTTTGCTGCAGCACCAAATCGTCTACACCAAACCCTAGCTGCGTTTTCCAATTCCTTGCAGCCGCTCCTTCAGCCTGGCAGTGCATCGATCTCCTGAGTCCAGCAGCCAGCCTCAATTACTCGCCATCTCCGTCTCTGCCAGCGCAGCCTTCATACACCAGTCACTTTAATGTGTGCTGTCTCACGCCACTTGCCTGAACATTTGTACCACACATGAAGCCATTTCAACTACCAACCCACGCCATGCTTTTCTTTTCATCTTTTCCATATTTCTCCTTCCCTGCCTTATTCTTCGTTTTCCAGCTTCAACTCCTCTCTCCTTTCCCTCGTCTTCTCTAACTCCCTCGACATGAAGGCTGCAGCTCAGTGAAGCTAACATCTCCTCCCCTCATCACCCCCTGATGTCTGCGGGGAATGATGATGAATGGCCTTGTGTGGACTGTCTTCACATTTGTTTCTTCACAGAACAATAGTACTTTTATAACCTGCCCCTGCAGACTTCTACAGCGACATTATCAACCTTTTATTTATTGTTCTGTTTTCTCGTTATCCTCAAAATAGCTTCCAGTTCCTTTTAAAGAGTATCATAATTTACCCAGCACCGTCAGACAGCTGCTTATTTCTCATTTGTAATGTTTGTTCCCCTTTTCTCTCTGTGTATTGTCTTTTGCCCGCAGCCCCCTGTTCAGGCAATTCATTCTTCTGCCACAGCAACATGTGTATTAACAACTCCCTGGTGTGCAATGGAGTTCAGAACTGTGTCTACCCATGGGATGAAAACCACTGCAAAGGTAATCTTCCTCTTCCTGCCAACCTTTACCAAATATTATGGTTGAATAGGATTCGTTTCTGCAGGTGTCGTAGGCTTGGTTTTCTCTTCATTTTGTATCATTCTTTCTTCCCTGTCCTCACCCTCTTCTTCCTCCAGAGAAACGATCTAAGGGTATTTTTCATCAGATCACTAAGACCCACGGCACCGTCATTGGTGTCTCGTCAGGCATCGTGCTGGTTCTTCTTATCATCTCCATCCTGGTCCAGATGAAGCAGCCGAGGAAAAAGGTAACCCACCCTCTGTGGTTGACCTTTTGTTCAGCAGGAAAGAGGAGACACATAATTGAAAGTGATGGTGAGGTGCTATGGAGACTGAGGAGAGAATATTAAATACACCCGGGGATTTCACACCATTAGACACCATTTAAAGGATAATGCAGTTCAACATAGGTGGAAGCAGGGTTGATTAAAACGCAGGAAGTTAGAACAGAAGACACTTTCATTATTGGAAATAAAGGCAAAACAAACAGAACCTAACAGATCTGCCCTGTTACACAACAAACAAGGATCTTACAAAGCCTTAACAGAAAACCAGGACTTCAATACAAGCAGGACTAATGAGGGGATAGAGTGCGGGTGTACAAGAGGTCGGGTGGTTGAAGGGCTAATGGGGAACAGGTGGCACTAATAAGGCTGGGACAAATAATAAAAAAACAGGAGGGAAAACATAAAGGACAGGAAGTAAAAACAGAAAGCAAATACAAAAAACAAGATCATGACAACAGGCGATGTGTCATTTCAAGGTTATTGTCTCTTTTGTTTAACCTGTTAGACCCCAAGCCTGTTTTTCAGGTCTCAGGCTCGAAAATGACATTTCCAGAACAAATGACCATATCTTCCCTTCTAAAAGGGGAACATTAATAATCTTTTTTCTCAAAGTAATGATAAACCTGTGAGTTGGATGTAGAAGTGTCAGAATCAATATAGATGTTTTTTATTTTAAAGATTCAGAAATTCAGATTGAACATAGTAAAAAACTGTAAATTATAGTGTCCGTCCAAAGATTATTTTTTACTTATAGTGAAAACTACCTTGGATGATGGTAAGGTAGACTAAACGCTTTAGGAATCCAAAGTACAACATATAATAAGTACCCTGTATCAAGATTGATGCAAAACAAGTGACATTTTACCTTTTTAGAGAGGTTTAGCAAAAAAAACTCCACCTCTGGGGCCATTTGGGTGGAAATGGGCGTTTTTGCCGTTTCTCTGGAACCCATTGGTCGATTTTGATGATTGACATCTCTTTTGAACCGTTAGAGCCAACAGGTTACCAAATAAGGAGTAAGAGTGACGCGTAGCCAAAACCGGAGCTGCAACACACTCTGGTGGCTACCATTAGCAGCACATTTTTGTTCCCCTATTAACTTGTCTCTGTTATTTAAATTTGGCTGGTCCATTGAGAATTTTGTGGGAAAAACTGTGTCATTAATGGGTTTCTCCGGCATGACTCCCTAACATTTTGTAAAAGGTTGAATCTAGCTGAGCTGCTGTATTTTTGACAATAAGTAGCTTATTATTTAAATAAGTGAACACAAATCAAAAGAAAACTAATAGTATGTCATTGATTACCCATTAATGAAAGGAAAAAAATAACACAAATATTTAAAAGGCAAGATGTTTGAAGTTCCTATATATATTATGGTGGATATTTACTTTCATCCCCTTTAATCCTACCACCTTTGTAAACTTTAAATATGAAACCCCTGAAAACTTGATTTCAAATCTTACTATGATATATCATTTTGTATATGTATTTGTTATACATAATCAGATTTGATGTACAGTGGTCTGGCAACATAGAAACGATCTACCAACCATCATCGGCTTGTTTCAAATGTTGCTAAATTGATTAGAACACAGAAATATGTGACATCCCTTTTTATCATTGTGGAAACTACAGGCTTTCTAATCCTTAAATCTCAACGGTCTAAATGGATATCCTTCTTCTCCAGGTGGTAGCTCGCAGGCCCGGTGTTTTCAACAAGGCGGGCTTCCAGGAGGTGTTTGACCCGCCCCACTACGAGCTCTTCTCTCTGCGTGACAAGGAGATTTCCTCAGATATGGCCGACCTGTCCGAGGAGCTGGACAACTTCCACAAGCTGCGGCGCTCCTCCACCATGTCCCGCTGCGTGCACGAGCACCACTGCGGCTCGCAGGGCTCCATGGCGACCGGCGGCGGCAGCATGAAGCACAGCCGCACCACCCTGAGCTCCATGGAGCTGTCCTATCACAACGACTTCTCCAAGCCACCTCCCATGAAGACGTTCAACTCCACGTCCAGCTACAAGAAGAGCTGCTACGGCTACAAGCAGCACTCACAGACTCACGACTGCGACCAGCAGGTCATCGAGGACCGCGTCACAGAGGAGATCCCATGTGAGATCTACGGCCGTGGTGTAGGAGGAGCCACCGGTGGAACCATGGGAACCATGGGAGGAGGACCGTCAGGGATTGCAGGAGGAGGGATCGGAGGACCGGTGGGGATCACAGGAGGAATGGCGATGGCAGGGGGAATGGGTATGGGGGGAGGAGTGGGCATGGCGGGGCCCAGTGGCATCGCTGGAGGGATCGGCGGTGGGATGGCAGGAGCCTGCGGAACCCTCGGTGTCCGCGGCAACAGCGCTCGCAACAGCACCACAATAGTTGACCCAAACCATCGCTCCATGTCCATGGACTTCTAGGCGAGGAACGGAATGTCTTGAATTTCACTCATTGGAAGAAAAGACAGAAGAAAAGAAGACAGGAGAGATCACATTAATCTTAAATTGATCACTCCTCTTCCCACTTCTGCCTTTGCTTTTTAAACAGTAATAACATAATTACACACTTAAGGATCTTCTCTCAAACAGTCGCCTGAAGGTTGGGAAACGAATAGGGATCAAGGATCCAAAAGACACAAAAAAAACGGACTATGGTTCCATTATTAAGGATTCTGAACGACGTAGGGTGCAGGAGACATATTATCTCTCCTCCGGTCTAAAACTCATGTAATCTCTCCGTTTCATAAGAAGAGGGTTCTTGCATGCAGACCCAGACTTCTCTCTGTTTGGGAGCCGATACGACCAGGTAACCATTCTGAAACAAAGAGAGAAAAAAGATGAAGACACACCCCTGACTGAGTTTCTACATGTATTCACCTGTCATGCACAGATATATGATATATAGTGTGTCTTCTAATCATTTGAGTCTTTATTTTTTGTCAGTGTACTGTACTGTTAAAACCAGTATATATCCAGCCTCATGACGACGCTTGGCTTTTAACTCCTTAATCTTTTACAGATGTTGCTCAGATGATTTAATGATGGTGATGATGATGAGGCTGATGATGATGATGATGATGATGACGATGTTAACGATGTGATATAACTAATAATTCTGTAATTTTAATGGTTACCTTACACATAATTGGAAGGTAAACTCCATTCAGTCTCTCCTCAGGAAGAGCACATGTAGAGACTTATTTTAGTAAGAAATACAGAGAGAGAAAGGTCTATTCGTGCTCTGTGAGCTTTATAGCATATGGGCGTTATGGCTTTAAGTGATCATTTATGGAATATAAAAATGTGTGGTTTGAGTCCTGGACTGAATCAAAATAGCAACCATCCCACTCCCAAACCCCCTTAGCAGGAGAAAATATAATTTCTCAATTCCCCTCATGAACTGAGTGTGTAAAACAAGCACAACCTGTTTCCATGAGGAGACGGACATGTAGCCTAAATGGGATTTATGATTTGAACCACTGGTTGTATTATTTCATTCTGTTGAATTAAATGAGAGCATACTCACCTTCCTGTCTGAGCTGTTCTGTTTCTTTATCACCAAGATAAATGGCCACACACCTAAGATGGATATGTCACAACAAGGTAAGACGCATATTGTTTGGGGGAGAGGGTCCTGGAGGAAGCCCTGTGTCCCTGGCCACTTTAACCAGCTGGGGGTATTCCAAGGCGCTCCCAGGGAGACATTATCCCTCCACCTGGTCCTTGGTCAGCCCCTCAGTCTCCTCCCAGCTGGCTAAAACCACCTCAACTGGCTGCTTTCTACTTAAAGGTGCATGGAGGAGACCCCATGTGAGATGTATGGCGTGGTGGAGGACGAGGAGCATTGGTTGGAGCGATGGGAAGGGGGGGGCGTCAGGGATTTGCTGGAGGAGGGATCGGCGACCGGTGGGGATAACAGGAGTGCCGTTGGCAGGGAGAATGGGGGGGAGGCGTTGGGAGAAGTGGGAATGGCGGTCCCAGTGGCATCACCAGAAGGATCGGCGATTGGATGTCAGTAGCCCGCGGAACCAAGGCCGCCCCTGGCCAACTTGGGGCCCCAAGCGACATTGTGAGATGAGGCCCCCCCCAACCGACAGGAGTGAAACAATTTTTTTGGAAACAAAGTAGGCTACTTTGCAAATATAATTCCTGTTTATTATTATTATCAACAGTTACTTTTGTATACAGTGAGGTAAATGGTAAATGTGCATGTATGTCGTTCAGTATGCGTTTACAGGTGAATACGTCTGCATTTCCTGCCAAATACTAGCCTCATAAAGATTAAAATATAATTAATGCAAATAAACTACTTCTACTAATAATCATAATCATTTAAATAATATAAATACTATATTATTTTATTATAATATAGTTGTAATATAGTCAAGACAAAACATGCTTATGACATGCTCAAAAACTGATATTTCTTAAATCTGTATTCAAATGTAGTTCCCTCTGTCAGCAATGTATCAACAACTACACACACATTTCTATCAGTATTTCTCTGTGTTGTGGTTGACATGATGATGACTGCAGGAGTTAAGGAGAGAGGCTGAGCATCACCATGAAATGTGCAAATTGACATAAAAATTAATAAAAGGGGAAAAAATGCTCCATGTTTTTTAGGCTATAAACTTTAACTGTTATGTAAGCCAACTAGACAGACATTGTATCACTCTTCCTCCTGTACATTAGTAGATAAAAGGCATAAAATACTTGAATGAATGTTAAATAAAGAATGCTGGAAATAACAATTTGACTTATACAACATTCGCAAGTTGTACATTTGACTCATACAATAGCCCACCTTCGAGTGATGCTCTAGTTTCTTCATGTTTTGTTTTTTTCCCCTCTTGCTTTTGCCGGACTGAAACTGTCTTTTCACCGACATCTCTTCACCTGTACTAGTGGCCGTATCAAAGCCGTGATTGGTCAGATGTCGATTCATTGCAACGGTGTTGGGTTACAGACGTGCTCCCCTTGTCACCTATCACTCTCGCGTGTCAGCGGAGGGTGCGCGGAGAACTGCGCACAGCAGCTGAGGCCCTCTGGGCGGGGCCCCCCATGCAGCCTGCGTGATTGGCCTGTAGGGAGGGGCGGCCCTGTGCGGAACCATCATTCCCGCGGCAACAGCACCACAATAATTGACCCACAACAGCTCTCCATGTGCATGGACTTCTAGAGAGTGAAGGGAATGCAGAAAAGGAGGCCCCAAGTCCCTTTCACTGGCCACATTAATCAGCTTATTGGGGGATTCCAAAGCACTCCCAGGCCAGTGTGAAGAGGTGTCCGGACCACCTCAACTGGCTCCTTTCTATGCAAAGGAGTAGCGGCTCTACTCCGAGGCATTCCCTGATGAATGAACTGACGTTATTCCCAAGGGAGTTGTCAGCCACCTTCTGGAGAAAACCTGTTTAGCCGCTTATATCCATCATGTTATTTTGGTCATGACCCAACCTTCATGACAATAGACGAGGGTAGGAACAAAGATGGATTTTACAAGCAAAGATGTTTTAAGCATGATTTATATGCTGAAAATGTGTAGACCTAAAGATAGTTTAGGGTTGTATATGCATCACGAAAAGCATATTTAGTTAAATGGTGGCAATATTTTAGTTGTAATAGTTTAATCAGGTGGTCTTTTTGAGATTAAGCTCTCTTTGACCTTAGAAAAAGATCACCATTATAACAGAAACAACACAATAAGAATTAGTTTAAATAGTAACAGAAATCGTGAAAAACATCAGTAGAAATCTCCCAGTAGAACACAAGAATCTGGCTGTATGGCTGTTTACTGGTCATTGCATTTAAAAGGTGCCTGAAACCAGTTGTGCCTAAATCTGTGCATACAGGTATCTTAGGTTAGGCAGTAACTGGATGGTGTACTAAAGTTATTCGATTTAAATGAGAGGAGAGAGTAGTATGAAAGCTTTAACAGCATTGCTTTATAAATTAACTTCATGAGATGATTATCTACACTGAAATTGAATGTTGACTGTGATCCATTCAACCGTTTAAACAGAACACATAAAGTTCAAAATGTGTAAAACTGGATTTCTCCATAGTCACTGACACACATGAAGGTTGGCTGCACAAAAGTTAAGACAGACATCCTTAAATCATACACAAGAAGCATAGTTTTATTCTAATTGTGTTGGGGTCGTATCAGTGGCGTAACAAGGTTGTGATTGGCCCGGTACAAATATTGTTTTGGGGCCCCCCACCCCCTATCGCCCCAAACATAAGCACACGCTGATGCGCTCACAGACGCATGGACACACACAACCACTCAGAAGCACCACATGTATAGGCTATCAACAACAACCTGCCCTGGCTTCAAACCACCACAGCCTGACAACGGCACAGCGAATTAAGAAGAGGATTAAACCTGTTTCCTTGATGTTTGTCTCTGGGGAATGGGCCGGTAGGCCTACATGTACCGGTTGCTATAATATAGCTTTTTATCTTGGCGTCGGGGGTCTCAATAGCGCCATAGAGTCCCCTATCGGTTGGGGCCCTTGGGGGAACTGTTGGACCACCGCCGGGCACAGCCAAATCCAGCCTCTCCTCCTGGCTGGCTGGAGAAGAAGGTCGCACAGCCACGGATACAGCTTCACTTGTGGAGCTATGGCAATGATCGTGGTGAAGCAGGTGAGCTATCGTTAGCCTCCAGCTCCGGCTGCCGCTGCACATCGACATTGCTAATGTTAGTGCTCGATTTCGAGGACAATGTATGACAAAAAAACGGTCTAATTTTCGTTACATCTCCTTGTTCTCTCTTGTCCTTTCTCTTTTGAGCGCCGCTCTTGTGCTTTGGTTTGCTGTACATTATAAATGCAAGCTATTATAATTTTTATAATGCTGCCGAACTTGCTGCTGCTAGCTACAGTACCTATAACTTTTGAGATTGATTAAATGGTTCGCTCGTCATGCAAGGTATCACATGACATGAAAGGGAGCAAGGTCATTGGACAGACAAATTACAAATTAATTTAGGTTGCTTGGTTACTTTGAAGACTGCGTGAACCGTTCAATGCCATTTGGGCCCCACATTTTAAAAAAAAGTTGTTTTTGCATGGGCCCCTGGTCTGCGTTGCACCGGCTGCACCGTCGATAGTTACGCCACTGGGTCGTATTAATCTTGAACGACTGTCAGATGTCGAGCCAAAGTGTTTGCATGACTCAACAAGTGTAATTTTCCCTATTGTGCTTTTGGGGGCTCTCCCTTTCCTGTAGTGTCTTATATTGTTTTTAGTGCATGTTAATGTTCCCTCCAGAAGGATATGCTCTCCCACACACCCCCCCCCCCCTGCCTGAAAGGCCTCCATTGGACTCATTTGTTTTCTTCTGTAACATAATGACATCACTACGTAACACTAGCACTTCTATTGGCTAGCTCTCTTACACATCGTACATGATAGGCTAAGGGGTGGGACATCTGTAAGTGGTTGAGTAATCACAACAAAGCCAGCCAGCTAACCAATCACATCAAATGTGTTGAATTAATCTTTGCAGATATTTTTGTCTCTCACTCATTGCAGGCACATATTCCACACTCTTTCCTTTGCTGTCATGATGCATTAGTCCTGTGTAATGCTCAAGGCACCCTCTTATGACCTTCAGAGGCTGCATGCATCAGGCTCTGGTGATCCTCTATGACACAGATGCATGTAGTTCCAGGAGCCTGAAGGTAGATTTATGTTAATAACCAATACAAAGCAGCATGTTTAGCTGGTTGAAGTTTAAATCATTTAAAGATTTGAAATTTTTTAATCTAAGCTTTATGTTAATTAGTTGATGAATATTCAAGGTAATATATCACCTAATAACTACTGTAAGAGCTATGCATTATGTATGTACACAATTCAAAAATTATCTGCAAAATACATTATAAGTAAAGTCATTATTGCTAGTTTTAGCTAGAGTTGTTTTTTTGGGGAGTTCAAAATGATTTACAATATCTAAACATCTCTAGCTAACCAAATGAAAAAACCTCAATGTAACATGGGCATTTAAGATGGCGATTCAATCAATTTACATTCAATGGATATGCTTATTTTCTTTTTTTTACTTCTCACTGCATTCATATAAAGCAAAAACTGAACAAAACATGACATACATTCCCCAACACACAACGCACAAGCAGAAGCCGGGAAGCAGTGCAGAGCACACCTGAGGCATACCACACTTCACAGCTGGGCCCTACATGCAGGAAAATGACCCATCCCAGCAGCCATCCATCTCACAGCTAAATGTTCAAGGGCCACTGTAGTGGGAATTTGTATTATATCCTGATATGTTTAAACCAAATGCTTCTCATTTCCTGAGATGTGCTGTTTTCCTCTATCTACTCTACTTCAAGGCCACAGCTGCTATTTGGTTGAGACTCACACAAAGTCACACAAGAACCTTTCCTGAGAACCGTTATACTATCTACAGCTCAAGGACAGGTGTCTAATAACAATGTGACCGTGTGAAGACAGATTTCTAACCTTCTCACTCTTTCTTGTATATAAGCCTTGCTACCA